CGAATTTTCGGTCACTATTTGATGTTTTTCTTGTAGTGTGTGTGATAAATATAATTTATTTTATTATGATATTCATTAAAAAAAAAAAATCAGTGCACATGTGGAAGTTGATTAAATTTGAAGAATGATCATATTGTTTATTCAGATCTATCACATTAGAAATTTTATTTATTTTTAAACAGTTTGAATGAAACATACTTGTAGATTATTTAATTATGTATTTTTAAAATTAATTAAAAAAACGTGACTCCCCTAATTAAATAATAGTTTTTAAGAAGTAAAGTTAAATAATTGTCTCCGTGCAGTTATTTGTGAATAATTTTTTAAAAAGGATAAAAAAAAATCGTTTCTATTTTTAACCCTACTATCCTTGCATGCACTTCAGTAATTACTACGAAGCAAAATGCGAATCTTTTTATTTTTACAGCATGCAAGGCATTGTGGAAGAACAGTGAAAAGAACAGATTTAAGGAAACACATAAATAATTTTTCAGGGTCGAGTAATGAGTTTCAGCATGGAATGAAGCTTCTCATCATTCTCAGAGATGCGTTCAAAACATCCCTCCTAACTTCATAAGTACATGACCGTACCTTCAACACTACACTTAACACAACCGTCGTCTTAACAAGAAGCTTTAACTTTCTTTTTGGAACAACTTTGAGCTATTACATAATCTTTAATGGTTGAATTATAATCTAACATTGTACTTGCAATATGCAAAATGAACTTAATTGCCAGAAGTACGTGTGAGCTACTGCTAAGTTTTCAAGTTATCTTACTTACGATATGAACTATAAAAACTTTATTTGATTGTGCCTTTAAGAAACACAAAAGTTCTTACTAAATGCATGGCTACTAAAGTTAAAAGCAAAAAACTGAGGACTAGTCCATTGAGCCATGAACATAATAGTAAGCAAGCATGAAGAAAGTAGCAGAATGGTACGTCCATATGTCAGACATGTGTTCTGAAATATTGTTGTGAGGTGAGAGTTGAGGGATAGGATTGGTTGTTTGAGTTGAAAACCAGTTCACGAAAGGCATCATTGAAGAAACAACCGACATTTGTCTGTGGTGCCATGAATTGGTTGTCGGGGTCTAGTAAGAAAATGGAAATGTTTCACTTCCTTACTTCCTCATTCGCTGTCACATGCAGTACCACTACGTTAGGAACATATATGGCTATTTGTTTTCTGTCTATCTGTAATTGTAATTTTTGCTTAATTTTTGTGACTGGAATAGAGGTAGCTAATCTAGGAGTAGAGAGAGGACACCTTTCTTTTTCTCTTCCCATGGCATCACCTTCCCCTTTGTCAGAGTAAGACACTACACTATGTAGAATAGGACTCACCTATATAATACTGGTTATGTTATAGTGGACACAAATTTAAGGATCCACTACCTCACATTACATCAAACACTTTCATTCAGCAAAACTGTCAAAATTGAAGACGTAAAACATTCATTTTATTGTTTCACTACATGTCCATCATAGAACATCACTGCATTTTAAATTTTAGATTCACATTTTGTATATAAAAAAATCAACATGATGATACTAAGTAAATATGCAGTCATGGTTTTAATAAATTTACCGTAGAAAACTTTTGGTATAGCGAATTCAAAGCATCCTTTTTAACATCGAAAAGAAGGAGAATGAAAAGGAAAATATCACTGATAAGTAACCTTACAGTGAGAAATTTTACTTTGATAATATTTGTTGATATGTACTAAATGGTTCTCAATAACTTGAAGAATTAAAAATCATGAAAAATTTAAGTTCTCATTTCTTATTTAAGAATGTATATACTTGGAATTGGATTTTTTGAATAAAATCATTTCAATATGATATATTTAGTCTTAAATATATGAACCCAAAATACATACTTAAAATAATAAGAAAACCATTTTGTTACAAAAGAATATAGAGTTGAAAATCAGACAAAATAGTGCAACCAACTCTATTAAAAAAAAAAATATTAATAATAATAATAATAGAATGTGGAATCCAATAATATTGATAGAAAATGAAGGTGAATGGTTGATTAATGGCGCACGTGACTTTACGCCGCCGGAGGCTCCTCTAACGCCGAACCGTTGCCCGTGACCGTCGCTCTCGCTTCTCTTCTTTCTTTGACCGGGAAAAGTGATCACTTTTTTTATTTTCTTTTTATATTATCTGTGTCCACCTTCTACACGTACATTTATATATTCCATTTTTGTTTATAATTACCATTTTCTAATGATTAACTATATTTTTTATTTGAAAAAAAAAAAAAGAAATTCACCCCATACATACATTATTGTAGAATAAAATATAATAGGTGCTCTTACTAGCAGATATTTTGAAACAATAAAATATATGAACAAAATGAAAAAGAATATCTTCATCTTTAAGGTTGAGACCAATGGCATGTGAGCTATTAATGATGTAATTATATAATTCGTTTTTTTAACGAATCATATAGGTTCGTTGTTAACTGTTTAAGGATATGTCTCAAAAACAAGATTATCTTGTTTAATGTTTACTATTTAAATTACCTTTTTGGATCAAGAGAACAAGGTTGCGCAAACTGAAAAATTAGAACAAAGGAACAATAACTAATTTTTTTATAATATTCCTATCGTGTATATTTTTTTGTTTCGCTGAGTACGAAATTCAATTCATTTTAAACGAAATTTATTATTTATTCAGGTATATCTAATTTTAAATCTTAAAATAAGAGTAAGGTTTTTAAGAAAAAAAAATAATTTATTTTTTAATAAGGATATCGATCAATTAATAATGGAAACTAAGTTCTTTTGACGTAAATGACCCACATTCTCTGGCCCAAATTGGTTCATCCAAGGCCTTATTAGCCGAACACGTTCAGCCCAATATAACGTAAATGATCCACAACCCATCGTAACAGAATAGGCCTTAATTGCCATGATTCCTAACTCATATAAGCAAACAATAACAATAACAGAGAAAAAGGAAAACTAGGTCAACTTTTCAGTTAAATTCAAGTTTTTTAAATCTAATTTAATTGCATTAGAGTTTATATTGTTGTGGGCTTTGATATTACTCTGGGCTGTTAAAGTTTGGTGCTCCACGAGTTCCTCATTTAAATCATGTAATCCATTTTGGCTGGTGTTTTTCCATGTGCAAAAAGGTATACATGTTTTTTAGATTCTAATAAAATGTCTCATACATAATAGTTCTTAAAATTAGGCAAAATCTGACGATTTTTCCTTCATTTCTAAAAGTAGGAAACTCAACAGGTGGTAGCTACGTTTTTAATGATTTCAAAATCTATTTTTGAAAAGAATTTTTTTAGTGATTGTTATTAGGACTTATGTTTCTTTTTCTACAAAAAATATTCTTAAATATTATTAGGACTTATGAGAATAGCACAAATAGAAAGAACCTTGTGACTCTCGGATTGTTACTGCACAAATGAATTGGTGAAGATTATGAGAATCACATGCTACTGGTTGAACATTTGGAGTCACTTGTTGACAGATGACAAGGTTAAAATTGCTGTTTCAAAAAATATGTCTGCAAAAAAGTATATTCATGTAGCAACTTTGTGTGGAAAAGAGTTGGAAGAAGTAGCTCTCACTCTTCTGAGACCTGACCAAATTTGATAGAGAACTTCAAACAAATATTGAGTAGAAGAGATTGGTTAGACCTAAAGGGGTTGGTGATGAAATTGATCTCATTCATGCATATATTATTAAGATGACGATGGGTTGAGTGGCCCAGAGCAGTCACGGGTCACATTGGCCATTAGAGTACACTTTAAAAACTAAACAGGATGGAGAAGTTTACCCTTTTATTAATCTCATCAAATTAGCAGTTAAACATAACTTAAAATATGGATTTGAAAGAAGATCATTATATCACATCAGGTAGAGAAGTTGAAGCAACTGAAATTTATATGACCCATCAACCGAGTTTACTAGCAAGTGACTCCTATTTGTTGTTAGTTGTGATGTTGTGAGAGATAATGACATGTTGCCAAATCCTATAGAATATGCCTCAAAGTAGTGGTTAGATTTATATATAAGCATTGTCCCTTCCTTTCAAAACACGAACTAGACTTACCAATAATAATCATCATTGTTCACCCCCTACATCTTTTTAGTTTCGGAAGATATCTCTACCAATATAAGTAATTTATAGTGAAAGATAACTAATGTCCACTTTCCTTTTTTCTTAAACTACCCATTCTGTGGTTAAAACGAGTCATTTCTTTTCTTTTCTCTTTTTCAGCTTACAAAAGAATTTTTACTGAACTAGAAAACTTCTTCCACATCACCATTTTTAACCTCCTCATTATCTCAATGCCGCTTTATAATACACTATTTTGCGAACCACAAAATATGGGCAATATGGCAATGCTACCATGTTTGCGGTCATCAAGAAAGTCTCCAACTTTAAAAAATAAATAAAGAACTTCATCCACAAGTTTTACTAAAAATTTTATATCAGACACATATATATAGAGAGAGATGTTCATAAAGGATATGCGAAGAAGGGGTAAATGGTTAGAAGAAAGCAAAGTAGCATTACAAATTAAAAACTTTCTTACTTAACTCGAAATTTTTGCTACAAATGAACTGCAAAAAGAATTCCCAGAAATAGGGATATATAAAAAGGGAAAAAAATGAAAAGAATTCCAAGAAAGAAAAAGAAAACAACCGAGACAGCAGCTCCTAATGACCTTAAGGGACCTACAATTACTAGACCTAAGACCCTACCCTTTTTGACTTGCATATGTCTACCCTTTTTTTTCCTTACTTCTCATTACAATCTTCCCCTAACAGCTAAAATATGATCATCATCAACATCTATTGCTCCTATTCTCCCAGTCCAACCCTGTACAAAAACCAATGAACCAAAGAAATGAAATATCAATAAGAAATAACATAAGACAGGACTCTAGAGGGCAGCAATGAAAGAGAAACTCTGAACAAAGGATCAATCCTCCCTCACATCACATCACATCACATCAAATCACATGTATTCCAGGGTAAGGCTGCTGTTAGTGTTTGGAATGAGTTCAGGTGAAGCAGCTGAATTCATTGCAAAACCAGATTTGTCAATGCCCCTGCATCTCATTTCCAGCACCTTCTTGTGGGAATTGGAGTGCAAAGATGGACAAAAAGTTGGGCTTGCAGCAGGGCGATACTCAGGGAAGAGCCTGCCAGACTTGAAACGAACACCACATGCATTGCATAGTGTTTTTGGCCCCATTGGCCCTGCCCTCCACTGTGGTGTCTTGGTTATTTCACAATGCATGCATTTCCTAACAGGTTGCAAGGCACTGTGGTTGCTATCAGCAGGAGCTGCAGGAAGTGGCACCTTCACTTCCTTTTTTTTCTTAAGCTCCCCAGAGACTTGCTTTGGGATCTTACGGACAAGTTGAGACTCAGCAAAATTCTCAGAGTCTGAAGAGGCCTTGGGGGAAATGACATTAGGCTGCATGTTCTCCCCAACAAAGGAGGAGGCAGGGGAAATGAGGTTCATGGCAGGGCGAGGATTGAAGGTGGCAGGACGTGGACGTTTGCTGCGTGCACGTCCACATGGCACAGGGATGTACACCTCCGGGCTCCGCGGCGGCAGCGCCGTCTTTCCACCGGAGCAAGAACTGCTGCTCTCAAGGACTGAAACTGGGCTTGATGTGTGGAATTGGTTGTGCACTGAGTCCTCCTTTGTGGTGCATGATGGCTCTTCCACTTTCTTCATGGTCAAGCTCCCCCCACAAAACGAATCCTCCACAAAGTTGGACAGCCATTCCAATTGGACAATGTCTTCATACTGCAATGCAATAACAACATCACCACATTCATCAGAATCAATATCTTCCCTTATCAAATTCTTTTATTTTATACAACATATACTATAATTCGTACAAAGCGTGTTATGCTAGTTTCAGCATATTCCACAAAATATGGTAAACAAATATGCTGAGCTCTTCAAATTGAACGAGGAATACGAATTTGTGCTCACTGTGAAAAGGGTATCATCAAACATGGGTTGCTAGAGTAAGTCACCAACTTTTTTCACATTATTTGTGTTGGTTGTTGCATCATGTGATTGTCACATGCAAAATCACATGATATCCAATAATGATGTTCAAATAATGGAGAGTAAGGGAATGTGTTGTGCCACATGTCACCGACACAATTAAGTGTCATTTGAATTACTAAAAAGCCTTTTCTACAAAAATAAAATTTAATAATTGTGAGGTAATAGTGCCTCCCCAGTTTGAATTTAAATTCAAAAAATTTCAACTTGTAAATTATCTATACTAAAAAACAAATTCTCTTGTCTAGTGTCAAGATATTTTGAAATTTATTTATCTTTATATCCAAAAATATTATTTTATTTTTTAAAACTTTACGAGCTATTTATGGAATGAAGACAATAACTTAACAATGCTCCCCACGAGTAGAACCAAAATTTCATGCTATCTAATACGCGTGGTGTCAGGCTGGCAAAGGCCAACAGACAATCAGAACCGTACGTGGATCCGTGATGTCATAATCAAGTAATCCAACGGCCACATAGGAAGCTAGTGAAAATGTGACATAATTACGGAGCAGTTCACGGAATTCATGTGAACGCGCCAAAAAATTAAACAAGACAACCAATTGGATAAAAACTGCAGCTTTTTAACAACTAACCGGAACTGAGAGCTCGGCGGAGAGGTCCGAAGCGCGGTTGCCGGAAAACACCGAGTCGGAACCGGGAAATGAGTCGGACTCGGCGGGCCAAATGCTTGCCAGCGAGTTGCAGTTTCCGGGGGCTGCGACGGAGGGCAATGTGGGGGCGCCGCCCTCAACGTCCTCCACAGGAAAATCGAGAAGGTCGTCGATGTGGTCAAAGAAGCTTCCGCAGTCTAACTCATCCATGAAATTAGGTCCAACCATTTTTTCGGCAAGTCAAAATTTCCTAAGAGAATTCAAAAGTAGAGAAGATTAGAGCGTGAAAAGAGATAATGAACAAAAAAAATCAGAGTTGTTGAATGGGAGATTGTGGCTCATATTAGCCATGGTTGCATAAATCAAAATTAATATTTTTCTTTAGAATTATTAGAGAGAGAACGGGAAAAAGATAACAAAAGGTAACTGACATGCGTTGTTCTTATTAATTACTTATTTTGATGAAATGAAAATCAGAAATTGAAGATTTTAGCATGTGAGCGCAATGAATGCTGCGGCGCATGTTAGTGTGAGCTGGTCCCAGTGTAGCATTTTGATTTTATCCAGAAAAACTTCCACTTTCTCTCTTATTTTCCTTTGAAGTAATTGAAGATACGGAACCCTATTTCGGCTTTTTTTTTTTTTTTCTAAAGGAAAATCGAACAGAATGTGAACATAATGAAAATTGAGGTAAAGTTGGTCAGCCAGCTAGCTAACCTTGTTCAACTTGAGAAAATTCTCGAGCAGGTTGAGTAAGTAATTTGACAATTCAACCCCAGAAAATAAAAATAAACGCAAAACAATGTCCGCGTAATGGTTTCAAACATCAGAATTCTATAATTCTTCAAATTTGGTTTAAGAAAAATACGTATGAGGACAATAATTCATTCTCTTATAAATTGAATCCCCTTGAATGGGTTCTGACAAAGAAATTAAGCAAAAGATAGTAGCGTTTGTAATGGTGGGTGAGGTTGAAAATTAGAAGGTGTGAAGGAAATGAAAGAATGGTAAGCGCAGAGAGACAAAGCAAACCTGAAGGGTAAAAGTCCTATCTTTGTATGAGTGAGCTGAAACTGAAAGGAAAAGTTGCAATCTTTTAAGGTAGAAAAGCTCCACAGCACAGCCAATGCAGAACTGTGAGAGGGATGGAGAGGTTTGAGTTAGGGGTGGGGGTGGGTTTTTGAAAGGAGAGAGAGGAGAGTGAAGAAGGTTTAAATGGGGAGTGGAGGTTATGAAGGGAGAAGAAGAAGAGAGAAAGAGAGAGAGAATGTGATGGGCACTGGTAGGTGAGGATCCTTCATCATTGCTAGCTGTCTTTTACTACCCTCACTGTCGTGATGTTGAAGACTTCTTTCTCTCTTCCTTTTCTCTTCATCTCTCTCCTCAGATTAACCTCCGGGACCCACCCTTCTCTCTTCTTTCCTCCATTCACGGACTTCCACCCCACACAAATCACCTTCATTTCAATTTCAATCCATCTACCCAGTTCCATTTCCCATACCACCCCCAACCAAATTTTCAAAAATAATTAACACCAATGTAAATGCCTTTTCATTTTCAATAACCAAACACCAGAAGGAGAAGAAAAATAAAATAAAATAAAATAATAATGGGCATGGACACAGACACTTTCTTTGGGTCTTTACCTTTTCTTCTTTGCTGGGTCTCAGTTTGTGTGAAGTGCAATGCAAATGCGACCACCGATTTGCGAGAGAGAGAAAAAAAAAAGTGAGAAGCTAAGAAGATGCAGGCTTTGCATAAATAGAACAAGAGAAGCTGTGTTTTGTCAGGCTTTTTTAACCGCCGTTGTTTCAAACACTGTTTGGTTGTGTCTAGTCTCTGTTTTCTTAAATAAAACAAATAAAAATTACAGCGTAGGTTTGCAGTAAAGCAGTAGGATAAAACGCTGAAAAGTCAGAGTTTAGGAGCTTCCTCGAAGCGCGTAACACACACGGAAATTGTTATTACGATCTCTGTACAACTCTTGTTACGGCTTCGGAAACCGATGATTCTTTTCTATTCCACGCTGGATATGGTAGTTTTTTATACCCTTATTTATTATTTTAGTTATATTTACGCGTTCCCACTCAAATATTAAATTAATATATTTCTATTACTACCCTCACTTTTCCTATGAATTACAATTTTTACCAACTTTGGATTTTACCTAACGCCTCCCACCACATGATTGACAAATCGTAAGTTTTATTTTTCTTTTAATTCTCGCCATAAAAATTTCCAGTTTGCTTTTGCGGAAATTTCAATTTGTTTTTCTTGTTTCGAAAAGTAAGAAAGAGACAATTCCGATGAAACTAGTTGCAGGGCAACGTTGAACACAGCCAGTGTTGGAGTTTCACCAATCTTAACTTTGAATATAATTCGAAAATTCTTTGTTTTCCGCCCAAAACAAACAAAACAGTTCCAGAAATTCTTTTCAACAAACTCCCTCTTTTTCTCTGCTCTTGCCCGTTTTCTATTTTTATAGAGAAAAGTATTGTTTTCATAACGTAAACCATTTTCTTCACCTTTTATTTACATAGCTTATACTCTATTTATTAGCGTTATCAAACTTGGCAATCATGCTTTGCATGCAACATTACAAACTTATGTTTTGAACATCATTTTACTCCACTGTCATGTCTACTTTAACAGTTATTCTTACAACTTTAACAATCCCAACTCACTCCGATATGTTATTCAAATGTACAGAGGAATAAGGAAACTGAAATACATGGTTAAAAATGGTCAAACTCTCTTTATATATATATATATATATTTTTTTAAGATCATTACATGCAATGAAATTGTCTAATTGATTTTCTAACATCGTTCTTTATGTGGCATTTGAATTAAAAAAAAATAGTTAAATTAAAATAATTGTATATCTGTTTTATTTATTTCGAAGTTTGAACGTTTTACGTTATTGGTAAATCATTTATTTTCTCAAGTACATTGATAAATGTTCAATTTCAGACAGTATATATATGAAAATATAAACTCTATAAAGAAATTATACCTACTTTATTGACCTTTTAAGTGAAAAGAGATTGTTTCTAACTATAAATGCTAATGGATTTTCTTATGTATCTCAAACAATTAATAAAATAGATACAATTAAGTTGTCAATAACTTTATATACGACTTTTAAGACAAATAGTTATTTTCCTATAATGATATTTTGTAATTTTTTTTATTTATTAAAAGAAAAAATAATTAATTAGGTTCTATTTATAAACTATTAAAATACACCAATTTTTAATTTAATACTTCTTTATATATATATATATATATATATACTATTAAAGGGCTTTATGAGAAAATACAATATTATTCATTAAAAACATAATTTAATTTAAAAAAATATTTGTTACGATGGAAAAGATTTTTACATGGTCCTTCAATAAAACAATGTCATATATATGATACATTTTCGTACTTATATCATTATAACTTTAAAAGTTAAATTAACCATAAATTTATTAATTAGTAGTGTAATTCTTTATATTAAATACAAATGTTATATAGAAAACTCTTAATTCTTTTAATTCTTTAAAGATAAATATAATTGAGCTCAGGATAAAGCGAGTAAAAACTTGCAAATATTAATTTAACTTATTTTAATAATATTTTTAATAAAAAATGAAAAAATAATTACTCAATAAATAATATTAGCTCATCAAAATTTACTGAAAAAAATCGTCTGTGCGACTCTCACTATTAAGAAGTCACATTGAGATTTAATTATTGGTAAACTACTCATTTACATCAATTTAAGGAAACAAACTTCTTTCAACAATTATTTTTTATTGACATAATTTAAAATTCAAACCATTCCAACAAAATAAAATAAAATTATAGCTCCTGTGACTTGAATTTACAGCAAATTATTTTTGTTTGTAACATATGCAAATTATTCAACAACTGTTATATGTAACGTTTTTAGTTCATTATGACAGCAATAAAATTTGTAATGTACAACTGTAATATATTAAAAAAAAAAAACAAACTTTAACATATTTTAATTTAACAATATTTAAACTATTATTTTGTTTTAATTATCAAACTTTACGTGGAAAATACTCACTCTGAATATAGGGCGTAATGCTTAATTTATTAAAAAAACTTTTACATGGTAAACAATACATTACAATTATGTAATGTAATCATTTTTTTTATGAGTTGTTTTCCCCACGATATAAAAAAACTCAACCTAAAAACTCGTAATAATAAATTCTTTATCTACCCTTAGAATTTTCACTTTTTTAAAAATACACAAAAATTAAATAAAATATATTTTTAATAATTTAAATTGATAATAATAAATTCTCAATTATATATATATATATATATATATATATATATATATATATATGTATATATTAGTGAATTTGACGATGATATATTTCCGTAATATTCAATTACATTAAACGTATAAAATAAAATATGGTTATTAAATAATGATATTTTATTGACAATTTTGAAAGTTATTCATAACTGTTGATGTTGTTCTATTAATAAAATCTATAATTGAAAATTCGTTTTTTAATTATTTATTAAAGTTCAAGTTGTAATTTCGGTAATTATTTCAAAAAGATGATGTCGAATTAAATAATTTAAAATTATTATGCGTTTTTTATTCAAAAAATTATTGAAATAAATTCATATAATTCTATTATTAAGTATATTAAATATAACAAAGATAGTATTCCACATGATCGTCTTGAAAAAAATAATATATATATGAATTTTTAATGATTTTATTAAATAATATTTTACATATTGATAGTATTCATGTTCTTCAAATCAAACTTATTGCTATAATGATTGTTTTTTAAGCATGTAAAAAAAATGTGATTTTGCAATAATATTTGATGAAATATGACTCTCTCTTACATATTATATAATTTTAAGAATTTTAATATTGTGCGTTAGAAGTTATGTGTAAGATGAAGAAAATTTTTGATTACTATATCTTTTATTATCTTTATGAACTCTGATATTCTTAGTAAAAAATGCATATAGTGATAAGTTAGTTAATTATAATATTAGTATATAAATAATTTGTTTACATTTGTTAATTTTATTATGAATTTTGATTTAATACTCTCATAGATAACTTTTATTATAATATTTGATATGGTTATAAAAATACTAACTTACATGTGAGATTTTTGTAGTTTTTACATTAATATATTTGCAAATCCACATTTAATATAAAAAACATAATAAACGTTTTGATTGATGCAATAATCTTCAAAGTAAACATTGCCACACAAATCCATTATTTTAGTTAATCACTTTCATTAGGAATATATCATCACATACTACTAGCTTAATAATAATTTCGTGTCTGTTTCTATAACTTATTTTAATCAATAGAAAATAATAATTAATATTAGAAACAGGTAATTTGTATGAAAATTAAACAGTTTTTTTTTTGTATATATAAGCATATTAACTTTACAAAGAAATTAACATTAACTTTTTTTTTAACAATTATAATACCTATTTTGTGTTACTTAAAAAAATGTTTGTTTTGTGAGATAATCACAGCTTGATAGTAAATAAAATAAAAAGTGTATTATTTGGTCACATGCAACTAAGAAGTAAGAAAGGGTTGAATTTGCGCACCCAAAAAAGAGTTGGAACCGAAGTAACCAACTTGATAAGAAAATCGATTCGATGCCCAATCAAAATATATGCTTGTTCGGAATTACCAAACCCACACTATATTATTTCAACCGACGATCACAATATCAATTTTGATTTCCACAAACAAGTCTAATTACTATTTTTATCTGGTCATACATGAAACTTATTTTTTTTCTTTTTTTGGCCACCACATGTGTGGTTACTGATTTTTATAGTTTTTGTATAGAAATGAAAGAAAAAAGGAAAAGAAAAAAGAAAAAAGTGAGTGCAGAAGTGAAGTGTGTTGGGGTTGGGGCGAAATAGAAATGATATCCATCTTCTTGTTCATCTTTTATCTCTTATGTTTTGTTAACTACCTTGAGTTACACTCTTTGAATCAATTCCTTCAAAAATACTCTCCCCTCAAAATCTGTTGAAAGGGGACAAAGGGAGACAGTGTGTGTGTGATCGTGCACTGCTGCTACCTCCATTCACCCTTTACTTCTTTAACTAACTTGCCTTCCACTCTTTCAATCCCTTTCTTCTAAAACACTTATTCTTCTTCTTCATCAAAATTAATAATAATAATAATAATAATAATAATAATAATAATAATAATAATTTCAGATACATTTTCAATGAATCTCAGTGTTAGGCTCAATACCGAATAATCATCACAAAATTGCAGCCTTCAAAGTTTGTTCAAAACACAACTGAGTTTTTATTTTATTTCGTAAAAATGCTACTATTCAACTTATCAATCACTGCACAAATGTATATAAATCAATTCAGGAATAGTCCTGGTGCCTAAAACGCTATTTATGGAAAGAATTCTACCTTTCCTTAACGTGCTTCTCATTTGACCATTTTGCCCTAAATTCAAAGCTTCGTAGACGTAGTTTTTGAATTAACGATCTACTTTATGAAAGCGTTTTCTATTTTTTTTTTAATAAATAATGGTTGGCATCAATGTTAAGATTTGGAACCTAGTATTTATTCTATCAAATGGAAAGTAAAAAACAAAATTAGAGTTGAAGCCAGATAGAGAAAAAAAAACACTATATATATATTTATTTGTATAAAAGATGTTATATTTTTGATATATTTCAACGCGCTTATATGCCTGAATACAACTGTTTCATACTTTTTGACTTCACATGCCAAACACAGTTCATTTAGCAATTACCTTAAGCAACTTTTTTTTGTTTCCTTCTTTTATACTACGCAAGTTTTATTCTTTTGATAATTGAATAACAGGTAACCAACCAGAATGATAAAAGTAATTGCAGAAGTTAATTAATTACATTTTTCCTTTATTTAATAATTTAAATTATGCCTTATATTATGTTATTCTCTTTAATTTAGAAACTTAGTATACATTTAAATAATTTCATAAAAGGTGAGATTAAGATTTAAAGGAAAAAATGTTTTTTTCACAAAAGAAAAATCATTACTCTTATTTTTTTTAAAAGAGTGTTGATGAACTAAAAAACATAAATATCTATCTCTTGAGTAATGGGAGGAGTATGAAAGTGAAATTGCGCACCGACGCTTCTCTCACTAAGTTGCAAAAAGTCACTAATTAAAGTCACTTCCTTAACTAAATGCGAATGTAACGGATTCAAATGAACGACGTGATTGAACGTCCAATTAATTATTCAAAAATATATGTTAAGTGGTTTTGTACATATACATTCAAATATGTTCTTGAGAAAATTTAATCCTACCAAGAAAATAATTATAAAGCTTTTCTTTTCAGTATACATAAGACAATTTAAGCCTTAAATTCGAGACTAGCAATTAATTAAGTTAATTTGTTCCCTGTGATATAATATAATTGAGATAAGATAGTTAATGAAGTTGCTTCATTAAATTAATTCTGGACTGTGTCGGTACAATGAGCAAAATGCCCTTGTACCTTTTTTTCCAATTGAGAATGGCACATGGCTTTGTATCCTTATTGTGTAAGCATGCATCATGTATAAACAAAGATTCAATGTCATATTAATATCTCCTAAACACAACATATTAGTATTATATGATCGCATTTTATCCTACATCATAATCATAACAAATAAACCCACAAAAGAGTATCAATAATTAATTAGTTAAAGATTAACAACTTTTTCCTGCTTTTTCTTTAAATAAATTAAAATGTGTATACGAAGTAGAAAACATGGGTATCAGTGTTTAGTTTAGATATCCATTTTTAAGTGGATAAAATATTAATTAAGTTGTATTATTGATATAAATTTAAGTTCATTGCTCCTTATTATAATATCTTTAATTGTTATCTTTGATTCTATAATTAAATTTGCCATATATGTTAATATAAACAAAACCAAAATAATTAAATAAATATGAATGCTTTTATATTTGCATCTATTAAACTATAAATATTTTTATATTTTGTCAAGGGTAAAACATTAGACTCTAAAACTGGGAATGATGTGGGAGATGAAGAACAAAGTTAGCCAATAAGTAACAAGAAAACCCTAACCATTGTTCCTTACCTTTGTTTTACCTAAATAACCTTCCTAATGTTATGTTGCCATGTTACCTACCATGCTGGGGTGGGTCCCGCGTTGCATGTTCGAAAGTTCGGTCCACACGTTCATCAACGTGGCGAATGTGGACTACCCCAGTTACCATGGGCCCCACCCACTCAATTCCAGCAACACCACGCGACGTGGGGACTTCCCTCACGTGACCTTGCCATCTCTTCTTCTCATTCGTCACCTCTCTCCCCTCTACCCAATCACTGTCTGCCACCTGTGCTTGCTGACTTTTTCCGCGTCAAAGCAACATGTAACTATCAATCTCTAAGTTATTTTATTTTTTACATTTTAATTTTAATTTGGGAAGCAAAATAAACAAGTATTAAGATATTTTCTGTTGTTACAGTTTTGAAGGTGTGTTTGGTTTGGACGCAACATGTGGCGGTGGGGCCCAGGTGTGGTAGTGCCGTACCTGAACATGGTCCGGGACAAAATGTGATCTCTCAGGGACTTTTGTGGGTCATTCTCCTTACAATGCCTACCCCACAAATAAGTCCTTAATTTAGGATTAGGATGCCACATTATCAATTGAATACTTATATTTAATGTTAACAAGCACATGACGTATCCAATTAAATCATTCAATTATTAACATTATTATCAAATAAGCGTGTCTGAACTTACAGCATATACTGAGGAGAAGTTGGTCGAATACGATTATCATAAAATAGAAAATAATTTTAAGCGAATCAAGTTGCCAACTGATGATTAATTATATAACCCCTCTAAAGGGAGTTTTATCAGACAAATATTGTAATTAGGACAGTAAAAAAATTAAATTTTTAGCATAACATAAATAATCTAAGAGTAACTGGTTATAGTGTATGAAAAGAGAGAGAGTATGTTGAGATTTGAAATGTGAAAAAATTGCTTGATCTGGTGTAGCAATAATAGAGGCATAGTTAAATGAGAAATTTGGAAGGTGCTTGGTTACAAGAAAAAAACAGAAGAAGATAAGAATGTCTGATCCATTCAGGGTTGTGCAGCTCAGTAGCAGAATGCAGTGAGCTGTAAACTTAAATAAACACGACATTGGAGAAACAGCGAACTAGGTGAAAGAGCAGGATTCTAAGTCTACGTTGACTATAAATAATTAATTATTACTTAAATGTTAAATGATTGAACTTGGGTCACGTTTTGTGCAGTACTATATGCTTGCTTAGTATTTCAGAACTTCTGGTTTGGATCCCAAAACACATTCTTATTCCTATACTTACTTCCCTCCTTTAATTTGTTCTACATCAATTTTCTAACCAATTGGACAATCAGTAGTTATTATACTGTGAAATCAAAGTGGATAGTTATTCTTACAAACTTTAGATATGTTATTTAATACAAAAATTAACTAGTTATTGATGATGTGTATAATCTTTACTATTGGTTTGAAATGTAGTTATTATCATTTATGTAACATTTTATAGTAATTACTTGTCATTATAGAAATTATATTTTTTAAAGATTCATCATATCAAATAAACTTTTTTTATTCAGAAATAACACAAAGTACATTTTCTCCAATTTTTTATTTTTTTTGGTTCAAATCAAATGCTGAAAGTAACACAAAGTCCTAGAGAATTGTTTTATTTATTTCATATTTGATATTACATTAAAAACAAACTATAATCAAATAAAATATTATTTACACATAAAAAAAAATCAAGTAGAAATGTTAATAGATTCAAATAAAGTTAGAAGTGATTGATTCACAAACTCGAGTAAAAGAGATTATTTACTTCTCTAAGAAAAATAAAACAAATGAAAATGATTTTTTTTAACTTTTTTTTATCAAAAATGGAAGATAATTTGTCCAACATTTTTCTTTTATAATATCCTGTTACACAATCTAATATTATATGGCATTTCTGTATGTTTAAAATATAAACTTATACATGAAAAAAATTTTATTTTTATATTTATCTTGAAAATTATATAAAAAAGTCTAAGCATGTAAATTCCATTATATTCCTTTATTTTCTCATAAGTATTTCATCATTAATAAATAAAAATAATTTGTTTATTACTTATGCTTAACAAAAGTCACTACAAGATAAAATTGTTAATTACGGACAAAATTTTTTCAACAGATCTAAATTGGTTGGAAAATAAACTTTTATCGACGAATTATACCTACGAATATTTTTTGTGGAAGAAATTTGTATTATCGATGGATTTATCCGTCGATAAATTAACAATTCCTTACCAATGGATTTATCTGTCGAAAATGTTCGTGGGGTGATTAAATTTTTTTTTCGACGAACTATATCAACATATATTTGTGGTGGAACTATATCGATGAAAATGTTTATTAGGATGGAAGAAAATATTCCAATCATTCTTTGCAAGTTGGAGAGAATATTTCGTCCTGCATTCTTTGATTCAATGGAACATTTCCCTATTTATCTTCCATATGAAGCTTGGCTCGGTGGACCCGTGCAATATAGGTGGATGTATCCATTTGGAAGGTGTTGAAATGATCGTCCTATATGTGTTTTATATGTTATTTTCATTAATTTGATCAATCACAATCTTGCTTCTTTAATTGTATAGATTCATGGGGGAGTCTAAACAATAAGTAAAAAATAAGGTTAAAGTTAAAGAATCAATTTGTGCGGCTTACTTGCATCGTCAGACAACATATTTTTGTTCTCATTATTTCAGTAACTTCATGTTGTCACCATGACAACCTAGAAATGAAATGTATTTCTAAAGTCAAACACAATTGTCAGTTTTATCAGTCTTTCGAAAAGTTGGTCGTCCATCTGGGCGGGAGTTGACTCACTGGTTAATTGATGTTGAATTCAAGTCAACTCATGTTCATGTATTAATTAATTGTCAAGAAGTTAAACCATACATTGAGTAAGTTCAAACCACATATGTTTTCAATTTCATTATTAAATTCTTTGTCACATTCTTAAAGTAACCTTTTAGCATTTTCTATTTGGACATCTCATTCGTGCAATTAGAAGCATCTGCTAGGATTCATGCAGAATTTCATACATGGTTTAAGCAACAAGTATGTATGTTACTATTCTCTTTTAAATATGGTATATAGGTATTAATGTAACATTTGATGCATTTTATATTTGTAGATCCATAATGAGCTATGTAGTGGGAAGAATCAAGACCTAAGAGATTTATCCAATCACCCTATGTGATGCGTTAAAGAATGACACACATATTTTGTGAATGAATACAAATTTCATACAAATGCATGGAGCAAGGGAAAAAAGATAATAAACAATGATTTTTATGTTAAGGGTTTGATAGAAAGTGGTGAGGATGATTTTTATGGAATAATTATGAAGATATATGAGTTGGAGTACAATACTTCAAGTCATTCCAAAAAGTTGTGGTTTTTTATTGTGAATGGTTTGATCCATCAAGAAGAGGTACAAAAGTGGATTCTAAATATAATATTGTAGATATTCGAATAGGTTTTAAAATATTAACCATTTGATCCATTTATCCTTGCACATAATGTAAGACAAGTGTACTATGTCCCATATTCATCATTTCGAATAGACAAGCATGGTTGTTGTATTGCAATCAAAACAAAACCAAGAGGTCGTATTGATTATGATGGTGTGGAAGAGGATGCCCCTTACCAAGTAGATGAAATGTTACATGGAAATGAAGTCATTGAAGTTGAAGACATATTTGGATTACATGACTATGAGGATGAAGATGATGAGAATGAGGATGAGGATGAAGCCTAATGTTTGAAGAAAAGTAGAAACATAAATGTTTTAATTTTGTCATAAAAACATATTGTACCCTACTTTGTTATGAATTATGTTATTAACTGAGTGTCCCTTAATTTATATAAGTTTTTACATCATAAGTTATTTATAATTTTATTTTTCTATGTATAGATATATCCATAGGAGGTTTTGACCCACCTCGACCCCCACCCTCTGGTAGTAGTAGTAAAGGGAAAGGGATATAAAAGAAAAAGTGACCACGCTATATTTTGAAAGTGGTTTCCACAAATTTACCTTCCACATCCACTACACCTAGACCATCCACTACACCTACACCATACATTGCACCTATATCATCCACACTCGTTGCACCCATGTCATCGTCATCCTCTGTTGTAAGACCTACATCATCCCCTTCACCCCTTATACCTATTGTACCCACACCATCCACAACACCATCCACTTCTATTTTACCACCCATACCATCCTCTCTTGTAGTCGTGGCACCCACCCATTCTCTAGTTATGACACCCGCCTCCTCTCTAGTTGTGGCACCCACCTCCTCTTCATCTCCATTCCCTGTTGTGGCCTCTGGACCTTCCTCCTCTCAAGGTCACTCACCTACTACAGATGTTGATTCAGAGGTTGGAGAAGATGGTTTTGCTATTCATGATCGACCGATGATTGAGGGTAATATGTAATGTCAATTCTCAAATATATATTATAACTAAGTTTTAGTCATTTTCAGCACATATGTAACTTGTATTACTTTTTCTTTGTAATTAGGTTTCTTCCATCCAGAGTTGCATCACAAGCTATAACAAAGAGTATTAAACAACAATTTCTTCAGCCTTGGACCACATGGGGAGTGATACCAAATAGTGATAAGAAGTTATTTTTTCAAAGTTTTAAGGTAACTTAATCTTATGTACATACTTAATTATTAGAAGGAAGTTTAATGTTACTATTGATTTCCATTAATGTATATATACTTATAATTATTGAATATATGTTTTGTAGTCATTTCTCTATAATGTGTATAACAATTTATACTTTTATAGATGAAGGTTCAGTGAAGAACAGAACATGAACATCAAATAAAGAAGAATTTTCATTCAAAAACATCTCACAGACTTAGTGAGATGTTTAGGGATGCAAGAATTTCTAGTCAACAATCAGACTGGATTGGATATCACGTTTTAAACAACTTGCTAGGACATTGGACCTCACCATGCATCAGTCCAAATGTGCACAAGCCCAAAAAAGTAGGACATCTGAAAAGGGCGGGAGCCTTCATACAGGTGGCTCTATCTGCACACATGAGCATGTCATGCGTATGGTAAGTCTTTTAATCATACATTTAGGATTTTGAAATATTTATTGGGTTTTATATCTCAAATTGTTTATGTAATGTAGGCAAAGGAGTTTGGAAGATCAGTTTTTATTGATGAGATCTTCCAACAAACTCATATTAGGAGGAAAATAGGTCAATTTGTTAATGAAAGATTTAGGAAGACACACGTGAGAACCTTCACTTTAAACTTTGTATATTATGATAGGTAAAGTTAATAATCATGTTAATAATTTATTTGTTTAGGAGGAATTTGAAACTAGACTTTCACAAGCTAGGTCATCTACTGGATCTTGTGTTGGCGAAGCTGAGTCCACTCCTAATGACTCTGGACATGATGAAGTTATATGGTCCCGTTGTTGGGTGGACACAGTTGGAGGTAAGAATAAAGGAAGATTGTATGGGACTGGAGAACTTGCTCATAGTTATCAGGGTGGTTCTGATAACTTGAAGTATCAAACTCAAGCATCTAACTCCTCAATTGACTTAGAAGAGATGAATCAATTGAGACAACGACTATCTGCATAAGAAGAAGAAATTCGTCGAAAAAGGGAGCACAACGAACAACTAGAGCACCAATTTAGAGAGTTTCAATCCCTTGTTGGTGCAGTCGTTCAATTTCTACCCCTCGGTGTAGGGATGACAAAATGGGCCAGGCCCGACGGGACGAGTTGGTGTTTTCAGCCCACCAGCCCGTTTTGGGCAGCCCCGCCAACCCACGGGACTGGGCAGGCGAGCCCGTGACCCACCTAATTAATAAAAAAATAATTTTTTATTGTAATAAAGTTAATTATAAAGATAATATATAAAGTTAAAAAGTTTAAAAAGAGAATTAAAAAAGTTTCACTCTTACAAAAAATATTCTCCTTACTTAAACACAACTTTCTCTCTCATGTTCTCCTTGTTCATTTTAAGCACTAATTATTTTTATCCTTATGACTTAAATATTAAAGGTGTAAAAATTACTCAACCAAGAATAATGTGAAGTTTTATCAAATAAAAAAGATATAAGTATTTGAATTTTTTAATATAAAAAATATAAATTTTATAAGTTTTAACGTTTTATATATATATATATATATATATATATATATATATATATATTTGTTATTATTTATTATTATGTAAATTTTATTATTGTTCTAAATTATAATTTCTTAAAATAATATATTGATTTATATTATTGAATTGAATTATTGACAAATAAATAATAATTTTATTATTAAATTTATTGAAATTTTTTATTTTAAAAAATAAAATATTTTTTTTTATTATGGCGGTCAGCCCGCCAACCCGCTCCTTGGCGGGCGGGCCAAGGTCTATATGTTGTTATGACTATAACAGTCGAGTCCGTCCTGTTCCGCTTTTGGCAGGCCAAAGGCGGGACGACCCAAAACGGGGCGAGCTGCCCCATTTTGCCATCTCTACCTCGGTGCACAGTCTCTCATTCAGCAATGTAAACATAGTCAACCAGATAATAAAGAACAACCCCAACAACAGGAAGTAGATCAAGAACAACACGATAACCTACCACAGGAGGACAACATACGAGAACATCATTCTCCTTATTATTCTCACTATTAAACGTTAGACAAACAATAATAGAAAAATATTTTAGTTCTATTTGTATCTTTAACCTCTTTTTAGGATTGTACATTATGTTTCATTGTACATTAATTAGAATACATTTGAATTTACTTGTTATTAAGTTAAGTTAAATTTATGTTTAATTGGATTGCTGGATAGATTATTGAATTGGACTCGATTGTTGGATTGATTATTGAATTGGACTAGATTGATTATTACCCATTTTACATATTATATTGGGAAGAGATGAAAATAAAATGACTTTGAAAATAATGACAGTTTTACCGACGATTTTACCGCGGATAATCTGTCGGTAAATGGCTGGAGACTAGCACTGATAATTACAGACAGATATATCCGTCGATAATTGTCGACGACATGAGCCTTCAGTAATTACTGACGGATATATCCGTCGATAAGTCTTTTGAAAACAAAACATTTACCCACAGAAATATCTTTTGGTAATTATCCATGACATTTTCGACGAACATATCCATTAGTAATTACTAGAAAAAATTCGTAGATAAATTTTATCGATAACACAATTTCCGACGAATTTTTATCCGTCGATAATACATCGATAATATCTATTTATTGATAGATTTTCTTAGTTATCGACGAATTTTGTGAGTCGAAAAATCTAATTTTTCTTATAATAAATAACTTATTGAATTTTTCTTATAATAAATAACTTATAAAATAAGTAACCGTATTTATTATTTACAACTGAGAATCTTGAACAATTGTGTTTTTATAGATTTATTTTTTATTTTTCAATACCGTTAATAAATATTTTTATATTATACTTTTTTAAAATTATAATATTTTGAAATAATTAAAATAGTACAATATCACAATATAAAATGCTATCATAACTATAATATATTACATATTCAGAAATTTATATTTATTACAATTTTAATTATAATATAATTCATTTATTGGAATTATTTATTTGTTATTAATCTTAATTGGATAATGCTCGAACTAAAATATTATTAAGAAAGTGTTGGATAAATTTAATTGTCGAACCATTTAATGAATATAAAATGATATTATAGAATATTTTTATTTTCAAAGGCAAAATATATTTGTAGGCAGCTTTAATTTATGTTTTTCTTATGATTTTGAACTCTTTGGTTATAGTCAGACAAATAATATATATATATATATATATATATATATATATTATTCATTTATATTATGTTTGACATAATCAAATTTTGAGAGTCAAGAGTTAAATTATATAATTAGTGTATCAATAATTAGTATTTTTTTTCTCGTACAAAATAAAAAAGAAAGAATTGAAGTCTAATATTAAATTTTGACAGCGTTGAAGTCACGTGCTTGAGTGGTTACTTTACAACCACTAGTTGGCTTGACATGGCTTTTAGCAAATATTGGGTGTGTAAGTCACGTGTGTGCATGATCTGCTACTTGCATCCACACAAAAGGAAGGAAATGCCACACTACTGGACCCCACATAATCATAAACATGTTTCACTTCAAACCCCACTATCCTGCTCCACGCCGCAGTCTAGTAATCCCCCTTCTCAACCCACGTGCCACGTCACCGCAAATTAAATTTGGAAGCCAAAAAATATCCCAGATAGCGAAAGCACGTCCAAAGGAACAAAGTGCACCGCTGCAGATATTATTATTCCATATTTATTATATTATTTTTAGACCATAAAATTATTAAAGCATATAAAAAAAAGAGTAGGAAAAAAATGAAGAAGAATATGACCGGAATAAATCTGGCGTGTCGGTGGTGCCGACAGTTATGGCACCGACAGGTTAACCGGGAAAAAGAGGTTGATTACCGGCTAAGGAAGGGAACCGGAGCTGAATCCCATGCATTCGCCGTCGTCGGTGCGTACTATTTTGACTTTCTTTTAACTCCTTTTCAAACGGGATTTTTTTTTTTATCTGCACATTTTTAATATATAAAAAGCACTTATATATATAGCTTATATACGTTTTTTTTTTTAATAAAGTCGTAGTATAAACTTATTTTTCCTAAAATAATAAAAAGTATTACCCTCCAATCTTTGGTAAAACAACTCACGTCAATAACTAAAAATAAAAAATGGAGCACCATGTCGATAATTTTCGTTCAATAGTACCCAAAGCAGAAGACCGTAATGCAACGGTCAGATTTTGTCACTACATTGTATAACTATTTATTTTGATTATTTATTTATTTATTTATGACTATTATGAAACTTTGCAGCCATAATTTTTCTTTGTTCTTAAGACACATGAGGTGTGCTGGACCGCAAAAGAAAAATAAATGAGTCACGTGGGGTGAACATTTTTTAATTTGTGAAAAAGATTATATAACTAAACATTTCTCAATCACCGAATTAAACGCCGAGAATAGGGAAATGAAAGCGATGGTTACATGTGAGGTGAGGACTAAAAGAGTCTTTTCCACAACGCTTAAAGTTTTAAACCAAGGTTTTAATTATTAAATTAAAAATGTGTCCTTTCAAAGACAAGGAAGATTTATGAGGCATAGCAAGATATAACATCTTTGAATGTGGGCATGTGCAACGTGGGTGTCACAGTTGCATGACACAACGTGGGGACAACGTTGCCAATTTTTAATTTCAATGTGGCTGCTGAAATTACGTTGTTGCCCGTGTATATGATGATTTTGTAGGTTATAAAAGAAGGACATTTTGGGGAAGGAAAATTAAGGGCTTTAGGGGGTGCTTCCCATATAAGGGAGCACATCAACACAACGTGGAAAAGAAATTGAGCAGTGCATGGAGAGTGGCAACCCACTCCTTATGGAAGGTATTGAGGACTACAAGGGTCCCAAACACACTGTATTTATCAATCACAATCCCTTATTTTGGTCGGACTTTTTTATGATTAAATATTAACTTTTTTTTTATTATTATTATTAAGAATGATGTTGTATTAATTTTTTCATTTTTTTTTAAATGGGGACTCGTTTATGGTGAGAAGGTTACATGGTAACTTTTGTGGGCCAGCCCAAGTTCTAATAAAAGAGGCAACTTTGTCCCAAAGCCCAAACGTTGTTTAGAGTTTATGTAGAAAATTGATTACGAACCATCTTGGCCCACCCCCATAACCCCAAAAATGACAAAAAGATACCAAAGAAACAAAGCAATAAAAATGATTCATAGATCAACATCAATGGAACTGTTCATTTGTATGACCGACAATTTTATTTTATAACTATTGTGGTATATATCCAGACAATTTTTATGACCCATTATATTAATTTTTTTTTTTGTACATTTTATGAAACTTTAGCCACATAATTGCTTGGATTAAATTCAAGGTTCATTTGGATTCTGACATTCTGTTGTTCCTCTGAAAAGATATCATGAGAGCCATTAGCATGAATGGTATTCATAATGACCCTCCCATCACAATTGGTTTCAAATGACCTTAAGCCAATCGAAAACGACAATGTCACGAAGATAATGTTTATTGTTAGGAGTCACAGATGATAAAAATAGAACATGAAACTTAAGATGCTACATAGGTTTTATCATTCGATTGAAGAGACAAAAAAAAAAAAAATGAAAAGATTTCAATCCATGATGTGGTGCAAATTTTGATGGTTGTGTAAGAGTATGGTGCACTATGGCTCTATTATGAGATACCACTTCGAAGGAATAGAGTGCAAACAATTTTGCACACTTTGAGATATGTATTCGGCTCATCATGCATGGGGTGTGTTGGTAATAATTGCACAGAAAAAGTAGGGTGGTGGTGGTAGTGAGGGCACAGGACCATGTCTTTTGTCTTCACTCTATGAGAGTTTAGGGTAGTGCAAGATCAAAAGTAAACCTCATCATCTCCATTTTATTTTCTTCTATTCCAAATGTAATGCTTTTACTTTAACAGTAACAACTTTGAGAGCTATCAAATGATACAACTGTTTTGCATTTCATTTCATGGTAAACACACATTCATTCTCCTTTTACTACATATACCCTCTCTGTGTATTTTTTATTCACATAAATTTAACAGTAATATTTAAGATTTAGCATATTATATATACAATTTTTTCTTAATCCAAAAATAAAAATATGATAAATAAAATTTTTATTATAAACATAAACATAAAAATTAACCTAAACAATATTATCATAACCAATATAATCAATATAAAATCAAGATATTCTTATTCATAAATGAAATAATTTATATTATTTATTCTTAAAAAAAATTACGTTTTTTCCTCTTTACGAAAGTCATTGCATCCTCATTGCCCTCGAAATATTAGAGTTTCGCGAGTATTCTGGAATTTAATTTCCAAGCTTTGTAAAAATAAAATAAAATAAAATGGGAGGTGCACTTAGATCTATGAACCCATGGACTTAATTGAATTGTGGGCTACGGCCCAGGCGGAAAAAGGGCCTCCATTCTACCAAGCCCTTGATGAGTTAATACTTTTTGTCATCACTCGCCACCATTCACATAACCAAAACAAAAACATTTTGCCATTTCTCCCGATAATTTTATAGGCAAGGTTGAATGTGTGTTCTACCCGAAAAAAATTTATGAAACCTCATACATGATTCAATGTCTTAATTTTCAAACTTAGTTTTTCCTTTTTAAGGATCATATTTCGTATTTACTTACATGGAATCGATGCTATTTGTTTAAAGTTTCGTCATTATTAAATATTATTAAACAAATAAGAAAAATATAATAATTTTTAATTTAATTTTTTAACCTTATTTTTCTTTTATAGGATGCATTTGGATAAATTGTAAAACAATGTTATTATATTTTTTCGAAGTTTCTTTTAACATTTGAAAAGAAAAATTGCTTGTAACTATAATTTACTAGCGCAGCCCGTGGATAATATACGATTTTTTTCCCACTTAGCATTATTTTAACATAAATTTTCATATATAGCATACTGTATTTAATATTTATATGAGTAACACACTTTTATAAAAAGTCAAACATTTCGAGATTTTTTCTTCACTAACATCCTATTAAATTTATAATCCAGAAATAACATCATTCTAATAATATTTACCTGACTAGTACAATTAACATAAAAATATATTATATAATTATATTATTAATATATTTTTATAAATATAGTAAAAATATATTAAAATATAATAAAAATATTTATATATTTGTATAAAAATATTATTTTTACTTATTAAAATTATTTTATATTAAAAATATATTTAAATAATATATATAATTTATTTATGTAAAATTTTTATATAGAAATATAGAAATATATATATTTATTAAATTTTATTATATTTATAAAAATATAAATAAATATTTAAATATTATATATATATATATATATAATATATTTGTTTTTACTATATTTATAAAAATATATTAATAATATAATTATATAAATATTTTTTTTAAAGAATATATATATATATATATAATATTTATATATATTTTTTATATAATATATATATATATATATATATATTTATATTTATTTATTATATTTAATAAATATTATTTTATTTTTAAAATTATATTAATTAGTGAGGTTGAAATTCAACCTCCTAGAAATTGAATTCAACTATGTAAGAAAATTGTGTTAGTCAAGTAAATATTATTAAAATGATGTTATTTCTGGATTATAAATTTAATAGGATGTTAGTAAAGAAAAAAATCTCAAAATGTTTGATTTTTTATAAAAGTGTGGTAAATATTAAATAAGTATTATGTTAAAATAATGTTAAGCGGGAAAAAAATCACAATATGCGCAGCGTGTTAATGTTTTAAATTTTATTATTGATATAATTACTATTATTTTTATATATAATATATATTACTAACGTTGATTGACAGACTTGTCAGAAATAGTAATAGTTTGTGTTGTTTAATTAAGTGTTACAAAGTTTAAATCATGATGATACAATTTTGGATATGAGATAAAATAGGATGGAGAGGAATAACATGTATGTATGCATATTATGATTAAAAAAGTTTCAAATATAATATCCACTATTCTCTCATGATATTTTTCAGTACAATTAAATTTTCATACATAGTACACACAGTTGTAATATTATATATATAATAACATTTTGAAAAAAAAAAATGCGTTGAAGTTCTGTCAATATATGCTTTAAAAGTTTATTACTTAAAAATAGTTTATTCTACCATCCGTCAAAGATAAAAATATTATACTGCTTTCTCTCCTTCTAATAAAACACTCACCTCCCTTCATAAATGTATATATTTTAGCATATCAATGTAACTTTTGAAATCTAAATTTTTTTTTCTTATTCTTAATTTTGTCATATTTGTTGAATTTTTTTGTAGTTTATATATTAGTTAGTTTTCTTTTTGTTTGTTAAACAAGTCATACTAGAAGTGTATGGGTATTAAGCTTTGTTTAAATAATAATAAAAAAAAGAAAATATATTAACTTGAAGTAAGGAAGAGAAACCCATCTCATAACACACAATAATTTTCTTTTAAGGTTAAAATAATGGAACTGTAGTGCATGAGAATATGAAAGTAGCGTTGAATAATGAAGATACTAATTTAAATTGGGGTCATATGTTGAACTAGTGATTTTGATATTATATTAATCCGTGACACGAAGCAGGCCATGGAATTAGTTGTGTTACATAGAATGGATATGACAGTAAAGGGACAACTGCTTTACAAATTGAAGCCCCAGCAGGAAAATCACAGGAAAACTCCCACCACCAATATCAAGTTTGACTGGATGGAAAAAACATGAAGAAAGCAGGGCACCAACTTAAAAACATGTAACATTTCTACTCCTGAACTTTTGCTAGTGTAGGAGTATCAGCGTCTGCTCCTCAAAGACACCAAGAAATTGTCGAGTAAAAAATTATGAATTCACCAGAAATGCTTTGGATGCATCCATATGATTTAGTCGACATGTTCCAAGGAGGGCTTCCGGGAGCTCATCTTGTGTGTTACTCTGTACTCATTTTCCGATGTGTCATTTCAGTAAGGTAAAACCAAAATTGTTAGAAATTTAATGTCAATTGCCTAGGTCTTGGTTTAGTTAGTCCATTCCACATTTTACTTTGGAGAAAACTTATATATTATTTTGGTGCTATTTGTTTTGTTATCTAATCATAATTGGAGTCTCACTTTTTAAATTCAAGTAATATAAACTTTTATTATATGGATTATGGAGATAATATAAAACTTATACTCTTACAAAACCACATTGATAAATTATTTTTACCTGTATCAAAAATGCCATTTCTACCACCAAATTGTTCAGGTATCCAAGAACTAGGCTAGCTACCCCTCTTGCCACTGTTGAGGATCCAACGTCGATATCAAGCTAATAAGGCAAACATAATTAAATTTTAGCATTTAAAACAAGAGAAACGAACTGAAAGTAATGGTCAAACTCTAAAAATTACTAGTGCTGAAAGTAATGCAGCAAAATCGCTAATGTTTTTCGAGTATTACTTAATTTGGCAATGTTACCTCTAAATAGTTCTTCCCACGGACATAAAGTACTTCTAGTGCTTGTCCCACCAAACATGCTTTCTTTCCAACACTTTGCTTTACTATCCATGATCCCTGGTAGAAACGAGTCAAGTGGGGATAAAAACTATTAGATACTCATCTTTATATCCTGTAAGTTTTGTTTGTGTTTGTTGCATGTCACATTTTAGCAGATATGAACCTTAGAGATGTATGGTATCAGCTTAAATCTAGAGTTCCTGTAAGCATCATCTCCATCTACAAAGCTCTGCAATAAGGGATTGTCTACCAAAGGAGTTTTCAACATGTAATAGAGTGCAAGGGAATATGTAGGAGTTCCGGGCATCTGATCCATCATCACAATAGTATACGTTAAACAATCTTAAACTTTAAGAGTGATGAATGTAACAATCACCATGACTCACTTGTATGTTGATGACAAAAAAGAATTCTTGACCACCTTTTGCTGCATATTGCTGATTAAATCCAAAAGCACAAAATGGTAGTGGATTTTTAGCGGTTATTTTGTGACAACAATTAAGGTCATTCGATCACAAATACACAAATAGCTAACTGAGGAAAAGGAATATACCTGAACTATGGAACCGGGACGACAACTTAAGTGATCTTCTCTTGTGTTTGAACTAAGCCAATCTGCACCAACCAATTTCGTCAAGGTGCCGTTTGCCTTAACCTGGAAAACAGAAATTTATTTACCCTATAAATTAAAAAATAAAATAAAAAAGTAGTATAAATTTGTTTAGTATAGTTTGAAACATTATCATATAGCTTCATGAAGCCTTTCACGTATAACAGTTGTGATTACAGCTCCATCTCGTATAAAAAATGAATTTGAGGAATAAAAGTTTCAGTCCCTTGCGTTTAACCTCTAAAGGAGAGGGCAATGAGACCTTTTTTTTTTTTCTTAAGAAATAATATATTTGGAAGGTCATATTTTCAGCGTGATATATGTGCAAATGTGTATTACCTTTCCTTGGCGGTGCTTGGTTTGTTTTCCTGTTCGATTCGTATGTTTTCACTTGTAATTGTAACAATGTTAGATAACTTATTGGTGTTTTGTCTTCATGATTTTGTGCGTAAAATAGCGAAAACAAATTTTGTACTTTTTACAGATTCCTTTTACATGCTGAATATAAAACCAAAAAGTTAAAACGAGGTAACATCAATTTAAGGTCAAAACATAAAAGGCACCAAAACTTTTTTAAAATACCTTTTGATGGTCTTGTAAATAATTTTCTCCGCGAACCAGAAACAAAGATGGATCAGAAGCAGCCCAGGTGCAGGGTAAAGCACAACTTGAATCTTCCTGAAGAGTGGCTCCATAAGAACATGATGCACCTTCCTCCTTGGAAGCATCTTGCAAATCCATATACCCCTTTTTCTGAACTGCAATACATGTAAAATATTTAAGAAGAAATATGTTAATGCACATTCTATTCAAAATAATACTAGTACGAACTTGAATTATAAATATCAACTCTAACCTGCAAGGTCGTGTAATTTCTTTACCAAACCAACAGCTGTTGCTATTCTGGGGATAGACATACCCTGTCCATCCCATTAGTTCAATATCATCAATAATTGATATCATTAAGATATATAACTTATCATAGAAAGATTGTTTAGGGTAGGGAATAAACAAAATGAACATATGACACAATCACACAAAACCTTAATGTGTACTTAGATGACATAAGAAAAAAAAAACATCATTTTAAACTTGTCTAATATTAGCAAAGCAGAAAAAAAAAATTCTGAATCCAAGCGAAACCAAGTAAAGGATGAATCTTGGTTAGCAAAAGTACCATCTGATCGGAAGCCAAGTCAGGATGCCATTGATTGTCGAAGTGATCATATTCCGTTGGTTCAGGAACATCAAAGAACTCATCAGAATCATTCAATCCTATTAAACCTGTACGACCGGAAGGTTCAACCTCGCCTCCTAGTACAATAAGAGGTTTCTCATACTTGCTTTTCTCCTCTGAAACTTCAGACTTAATATCCTCCTTTACACCAAGAGGCAATCCAATATCTTTTGTCATTATGAGAGGTTCAGAGGAGTAATTTTCTCCTTTGGTTCTGAACAACTCTCTTAGAGCTGCGAAGAGGAGATCATAGTAAAAGCTTGTAAAATATCATGTATAAAAAATGTGTGAAAAGACTACATATATGACACAACTTTAAAGTCTGCCACTTAACTTTATCATATACTAAACATACCCGCTATTCGTTCAAGCATACGAATGGTTATGGATCTTCCAGATGAGGGACGCAAATACAATTTCCAAAACTTCCAATCAATAGAAAGCATGTGTCTCACAACTGATTGCGTTCCCTTGTGAACAGGGGTCACTACAAATCCTCCACCTGCCAAGTGTTCCAAGCCTCCTTTATTATTTGTTATTTTGGGATTTTTGTGTTATTTTTAGTATTTTACCTTATTTAGGAAACTAATAAATATTGGTTTGAATGTGATTTTGATCACCCTCGAGTTATAAATACATGCTCTTATCTTTGGGTGTTGTTTCTTATTATAGGGAGTTGTTGCATCTCCTATATCCTGCTGCCATAGGTTTGATTATTTGGTAGCATTATCATAATCTCAAATTTAAAGCATACATTACTTTTAAGGCAAGCTCGGACATAGCCTTTCTTTGGTGGACACTTGGAATGGTACACAGAATGGTATAATAACACTGTCACAGAATCAGAGATAAAAAGGTTAACCGACAGACTAAAATGAACCATATCTTCGCAACATAAATCTTTTGGTAACAGTACCATATGATCCATCATCCTCCCTCCTCCAGTATCTTCGTAACAACAAATCTCTTGGTTTCATTCCCCTAGACATGAGATATAATGATATATTAACAACATGTTTGCTTTCTGAATTCTCATTTACAAGGTTCCATACATATCCTACCATGGTAACCAATCATTGTACAGTTCCACATGAATAATATCTGTATGTCCATCAATGTGATCAACCACATTGCCTCGATAAATGCAAAAGTCCCATCTGCAAGAAAATAGGATATTTAATATATAAGCTACACTAAATCATGTGGATCACATTTCCCTTTTAGTGGTTCCACATTTCCTATTTTACAAGTTAAGAAGAAGACTTACTCTGATCTTGAGGGATCAAGAGTCATAAGAGTGTGGAAGATGGCCTCTGAAGTTCCATCAACCACACCAACTGCCATTATAGCTGAGTTATCACCCCACTGCTGAATAAGGAAAACAACTTTCAATTTTTTCAGAGGAGTTGACCGCTTATAAAAATGTTACCAAGTTAGGAGCAACTTACATTTCCAGTATCCGAATCTTTGGTTTCTTTGAACATCCTTAGTCCTGCATAAGCAATGAACTATATGAGATACATACAAGTCACGTAGCCATGTGCTCTAGGAGCTAAAGCTGTACCATTCTGACAACCAAAAATCTTCCATGATGAAGGGGCAATAACATCAGCCGTCATCGTTTCAGAATAGGTTTGAAAATTCAAGTTGATGTATTTCCAATCTGTGCTTTTTGAGCCTCCATTTCTGTTTTAACAAAACTTTAGTCATTAAAAGGCATTCTTTACATAATATGATTAGTTTAGTTTTATAAAAGTATACACAAGAACAGGAAGTTCAAGGTACTTAAGGTACATAAATATTCATCACTCCCTTGTAGCAATGTTGCAGCAAAAAGGAAAGGACTGATGCGTGTGATTATCTTAATTTTAAAGCATTATAAATATTCGGAAGAAGAAGAACGAAGTAATGGGCTAAATATTCAAAAAGTAGTTAATGTACCTCAAACTTGAACGTCTTCTTCTGATACAAGGCACTAAATTTTTTGTTGGAGATGGGCACTCCTGAAAAAAAAAAGGAAACGATAAAAATATATTTCTTATAACGAGAAACACTCATTAAGATAACAGAGCAGAACCTTCATTGCAGAATCCTGCAAGGTACGTATCCATTTTGCAGCTTCTTCTGAACTACTTGCTCCCAGCTATAAAATATGAAATATAAATCAAGAATATTCAGTGAAAAGTTGTCATAATATGTTGCAAGAATTTTAATTTCAACATACCTTAAGCTTATCACTTTGATTTGTTGCATTATAAATAGTGAAAATGAAGAACACCTGCACAATGCAAAAAAAATCGTAAATACAATCATTAAATGTTCAAGTAAACAAAGCAGCTCTGTCAAATAAGTAAAAATTGATCATAAAAAATAAATTAGAAGCATCCGATGTTGTCCAACAGAGAGTTTACCTTTTTGTTCAGACTCTCCCTCCCATTATCATTAACCCGAATGCAAGAGTCAATTATTGCACTTCTAATTGGCTCCTGAAAATTAATATAACGCTTTCATTAATCACAATTGACAATTCAATCATCACAATAAATGGGAAATTTTATTGTTATAAAAATCTAAGAATAACATACCACACGTGAAACATTAAGAAAACCATTATAAAAACATAAATTAATCCAAAACCTCAAAAACGCTATCCAATGATACATCAAATAATCAAACGTGGTAAAACCATTAAAATATAGAAACTAAGTAATCGTCACTTGAACCTTAATCACTTTAAAATATGAAATATAGCATGTAAGACTATGTGACAGACAACAATAGCTAGAGTGAGGTCTATTTAAGGAATTGATCTCTTCCGACAAATATTTTTCATACAGATGGAACTAAGATCAACCTCCTGACCTGACCACACACGTAAAGCCAGAACAATGTTATTTATCAATCATGTCACGTCGAGTATGTTGAAAAAGAAAATTTTGATATGTGGGAGTGATTACCTCCGATTCGGTGACGGGTTTGATCTTGAAGCTTCGGAGGACATTGTCCTTGAGAACGAAGTACCTCTTACGCGAGTAATGCTGACCAAACCGATTGGCGCGAAGGAGATAGAGCCACCCTTCCATTTTCCTCTCACTGTGCTGAACAATACCCATTTGGGAAAAACATTGGTGAGAAAGAAACAAGGCAGTGAGTGAATTTGTGATGATCGTTGGAATGAATGAAAGCGAGAATGAGAGCATAGAAGAAGAACCTGAGAAAAATGTGAGAGAGAAAACGACGATGGTGATCCTCTGACCCCAAGAAAGGGAGTCAGAGAATCGAAATTGTGAGGGTAGTGAAAATGGTGTCTGTTGTTGCTCTTTTTCTTCTTCTTCTTCTTCTTCTGCTATTTCCTATGTTCCCGCTTCATCAATAACTGCTTTGGTTCCTTCTACTTCATTTTACATCATTTAATAAGGTCCAATATTACATTCTTGCCCTTCCCTTTTAACCTCAAAAACTATCACTTTTTTACTCAGCCAGTAGCTAAAATCACAACATTTCATCACATAACGATTTCAATTTTGTCATTTGACTCAGTCTCACACTTTATCTCATTTATCACAACTTTAAATCACAATATTTTCCTACAATTTATCTTCAATTACTTCACAATGAACATGTTTCTTAAAATAACTGTTATAAAATTCTATAAATTTAATATACATAATTAATTCTGGTGGGTTTTATCCCTTATTAATACATGAATATGTCTTCTAATTAAAATTAAATTTCATTTTGGCAATTCTTGTTAATCTTTGATGAAAATCTTTATTTCTTTTATTATTGATGTAAAATTTCAGTTAGAGTTAAAGAATAGTACTATAAACACTTATAAAATACACTTAAGAGGGAGTATCTTAATTTCAAAGTATTGTATAATCATAAATATATTTTATCACAAATAATCTTATTCGAATAAAGGAAGATTTTTATTACAAATTATCCATTGTTGTGATTAAAATTCAAATTCATTGTTGTTTTGTTAATGCACAAAGCAATGATTTGGTAGTGATTAAGATGAAATTAACCGGCAATCAATAAGAAACATGACTTGCGGGGAATGATTGTCTTGCATTAATTTGGGACGAGAAAAAAGGGTTTCTTTAAAGCCAATTCAATTCATACCTAGGTTTATTAAAGGCTATTGTAAACACATATAAAATCTAAAATATTTTTAATTTTTCATAATTAATTAAATATTAATTTGGAAGTGATTTTAAATGTAAAACCTGCTTGTTTGTACTTAAAAGATTTATTTAAAAAAAAGTGATTTATTTTCAATAGGAATACTCATGTGATTTCAAATTTTATTAGTAATGTATTCTTATTAAATTATAACTAATTTTCATAATGGTTCATACTTTCAAAGAACAAATATACACTTTTTCTTTTATTGCTAGCGAAAACATAGGTAGTCTATATTTCTGCACTTCTATGAATTTTTTTCCAAAACTAATTTGTAATAACAATTTTTATTATGTTGTATATTAATTGTGTTGTTAATTAAAATTTTATTATAATCTCTGGAGATTATATATTTAATATAACCCTATTAATTATTTAAGTTCAAATTGTTAACAAATTTGAAAAAAACAAATAGGCATCTGAAAAACTGTAAACAAATATTTATATAAACTTTCCAATCAAACTAAACCTTAAAAATATTAAGGTAGACAAAATTCTCAATGAAAACAAGATAAAAGAAAAGAAAAGAAAAACTTCTTGTTTTAATTAATGTATACATTAATTACAACTTATAAAAGAAATTTAAATTAATTTGTCTTTTTATTTTCTTTCATCTGTATTCATTCAGAACTTTTGTTTTCTCTTAATGACTTCTATTAAACAAATAAATGATACAAAATAAGCGAGCCTATTTTCATTATTGCTTGTAAGATTATTTAAAAAATTAAACTTATAATCAAGGTACTGTAAATGTATTAAATTTAAGAATAAAAATGACCATTAAATTTGTATATATGGAGATTAAGATGTCCGATCTCGATTTTGAGAAGAAGAAATCGAGTTGATAAAGGACAAACTCAAGTTCGAGATTTTTTCTCGATTTAAAAAGTCGGAGACAAAGGTAAGAGTGAAGACGAGTACTGTAATCCCCATCTCAATTTCATTTCCGTCCTTACTCGACTTTATATTTTAATTTAAAATATTAATATTTTATAAAAGTATTTCATTTTTTTTGTTATATATAATTTTTTTTATATATTTCACAATTTTTCACTTTTTTTTTACCTATTTTTTATTTTTTAATTTTTTTATCTTTTTTAATCTTTTATATTAATTAGTTCGTTACATTATTATCTTTCTCTTACTTCTCACCTTTTAATTTCCTTAATCTCTCAAATCAATTTATTTTTTCAACCAATTTAACGAATAAAAAATTAATTTTTCTTCTTTTTTCTCTTTTTCTAAATATTTTACATAAATTTAAATAATAATCAATATTATTTTATTTATAATTAATTTTTATTAGATTTTATTATATCATAATTTTTTTATCTTATTATTTTTATTTATCATATATCAAATTTTATCTTAATAAAATAATTATATTTTAAAAAATTAAAAAAAAAACCAATAATTTAAACTTTTAAACTAATTGGATAAGAATTAACTTATTAAATATTTTCTTATAAATTATATATTTTATATTTTTAAATGATAATTTAAAAAAATTAACTTATATATATAATCAAATAATAATAATAATATAATTATTTTATACCTCTATAAAAAAATAATTAAATATTTTTTTACATATATTTTAATGTAAATAAAATAAATTAAAATATATATTTAATTAATAATAATTACAAATTATAAAATTATAAATACATATTTATATATAAAAAATACATAAAAATATTAAAATTAATTTATTATAAGTATAATTATTTTTAAAAATATTTTAAATTGAAGATGAAACGAAAATAAAAAAAAATTCTAAAATTCAACAAGAATAAAAAATTAATTTCTAACCTCCAGACTATATAACCCACCCCTATCCCCGTTGTGATGCCTATTTAAGTATTTGAAATGCATTGTTTCAGAAAATGTCTTAGTACAAACCCAAGCCAAGCCTTGAAAAACAGCAATTTTATAATATTTAACGTAGCTTAAAACAGACTGGCCATAAAGCAAAACTAACTAGGACAATCGACTTTTAACTTTAAATTCCCCTCACAGGAAAGGTATTCATTTAAGTGCGGATTGTCTTTAACGAAATTATTATAACATAGATCATTGAATACTTTATTTTTTTCATTTGATTTAAGTTTGTATATTGATTGCCAAGTATCACATAAATATTTCTAATACCCAGATAGTAAGATCTTACAGGTTTGTTTAAGTGCCGTTAACTAACACACCCTATGTTTCTTAAATGGAAGGAATGTTTGAAAGTTAGTTGGATGAATGGCATATGATCAAATTGCCATGGGAAAATTGTAGAAACAAGTAATCTATAATTGCAATTAGTCCTCTTTACTCCATACAATGTTGCCAAAATGCAATATGACCTTCCAAAATACGGAACCCTTGGATCTGATCAGTCACTGCCTGTTAAGCAAGCCACAATACTTCAATTGAGGGCATGGCTAAAGAGAATGTTTTAATCATAAAAGTAGTTGAAAGAGGGGATTTAGCACATACCTTACAAGAAACTTAGATAGATATTCTTCACTTGCGTATGGAAAGATCAACGTGAAGATATGCGACAGAAGCAACAAAAAGCAAGAAAAATGCAGATACTAGCATCAATGGCTCAGCAAGCATGAATATAGGGTTAAAACCGTAGTATACCTATAAAAAAAAAACAGAAACGGTTAGACCATAGCCTAGAGCAGAAGTTTACTAGAGAATGGAAACATAGACCTAGACCATAGCAAGCATGTTGTAATTTTGGGTCTACTCCCAACCAAGGTTTGACAAGTTGCGTAGAAATTTTTTTGGAAATAAGTCCATGATTTCATACCATATGAAATATATTATGTCTTTCATTTTTGTAGTTGCAGATAGCAAAAGGAAGTGCTAAGTGTTTTTACATTACTTTTTCAGATTATTTTTTTAAGGTTACAGAAAAAGAAAAAAATTCAATCCAAACCTTGTTCCAGATACAAGAACTACAATGTTCAAACTTGATCCGACATGTATCATTTAAATATCAGATATAAAGGCATGCTAATAAACAATAAAGACCAAGGACAAAAGCAAGAAGGGGCATGAGACAGGAGGACTGTAAGAATCAGGGTAAATTAAGTAGTGATGGAGAGAGGACAGACGACCAGTAATGCTCTTACATGTTCTGTGTCGAGAATAGAGGGCAAAAAGAACATGGTTTAAAATTATTTTAGAAATCCACGAAAAACAATTTTTCTTGGATTTTACAACCAAGAAAATATCATGGGCAAATTTAAAGGGTACCTAAGAAGACTTTTTAACTACATGCCAGACATAATTTTCATCTGCAATTAGAACCTCCATCCATTTGCATACACCCAACATAAAAAGGCCTCATTTATTAATAACTATATTGTTAGGGAATATAGGATACAAGATATTCTTAAAGCCACGCCGTAGAATAACTTATGGTCATGGTATCAATAATTTTTGTTGCATCATCATCACATTTAAATAAGAGTAGCATTAGTCACTGATTTGGGAGAAAATAAATAATTTTCATGCTCATAGAATTTGTGAAATGCCCACATTCCAAATCAGTTTTAGAACTTTTTATTTATTTATTCGCATTGGATTTCATAAATACCTGGAAAGGAATATTATGCTCAGGAACTACATTTCTTTTTTCTAAAACCACCACAGTCCTGCCGACAACATCAAGATATGAATACTTGATCTGCAAATTTCAAATTTAAAACCATTTTAGCTGCAGGGAATAAAATGCTTTAGGCTACAAGTACGGCAAGTGAAATTCTTCATGAGCAAAATCAAACTATACCCAGAGAACAAAAATAAATTACCTTGGAGAAATTGAAGTTATATTGTATATATAATTTGACAATATATAATTTTCTAAACAAATATTGCAATCCTTTACTCAATAAGTTGTGTAATTCTGATTATTTTAAGGAATTTTCCGTTGTCATTATAGGATTGGGAGGAAAAGAAGAGAAGAGACTCTGAATAATTTTATATTCTACATGATGTATCCTGCACTATTAATCAAGTTGAGTACTAGTGCACTACAATGAGTACAAGCTCTACTCAACAAGACTTCAAAAATAGTAGGAGCCCTAAGTCCTAAAATGTTAACCTCTCTTGAGAGCTTAAAGCTTGCTACAAATAAACACATTTATATATTAAATCCAACCAATAAGCTTGCACATCTATCCCAAATGCTCAAAGCCAGGTACCACTTTGATGAGAGTTTCACAATATATAAATGCCGATACAGAAGTCCAAGGAAAGTCAAATCATCAGGTAATTGTTCATATTGACAATTTGATCAGACAGTTAAGCATTATGTACATATAACGCAGGGGCCGATATCCATATTCATACAGTATATCCTCAAATCATCATGATTGAAATGCCCTATTCAGAAGATTTTTTTTTTCTTGCTCTCTTTCAATTCTGAGAGCTAAATTGATCACTTTGAAAGCTTATTATAGACAGCGGTCCCAAATGATAAGATAGAGAAATGCAGTTGATGCAATTATAAGTCACAAGTTCACATCATTATTTTAAGAGAACATTACCTCTAGATGTTGAACAAACATTATTTTAAGAGAACATTACCTCAAGATGTTGCTTTACTTCAAAAGGAATCTCAGCTGTGGGATCTTTGGATCCCTCCGGCAGCACAACCTGAAATTTAATGGTTCATCAAGGGTAAATTAAACGTCCAGTATTGCATACAGAAGCAATTAAAGCAAGGAGCACAATTTTCAGTTACAAAACAAACCCACTTTTACAATCAACTTATCAACCACTGTCTCGACAAGAGGGCAACCAAAAGTAAAATTGAGGTATCTTCTGCCATCTGGAGCTTCAAAAAGGAAGTCTTGCAATGGTAGTCCATAACCAATGACAAAGGTTGCTTTCCAGCCTCCAAATAGAGGATACCGAGGTTCAATTTCAAGTTCTGACTGCAACAAATGAACATTTAAATAAGTATGAATCAGAAAACATGACATTTTACAATAATGATTATGTTAAAATATAAAAAGCATCTTTTTGTCATTCAGACTAACTTCCTCAGTGATCTCTATACATCAACAATAACTAGTATAACATTTGCTCTTCATTATAAAAGCATGCACATGTAGAAACTATAAGAAATCATCACTTTCGTTCCTTATTTCATACTTCAGTTTCTGTCAAATTATTATGCTGTTAATGCTACCCAGTACTCCAGTAAAAAACAGAAACATAGACCAAATAATGAAGACGATAATGCTCTTTATGTTGACAAGAATGACATTACTTTCAAGTATGAAAAGCACCATGTCTCACTTAAGAGGAACACAGCCATGTGATTCACGTATTGAAACAGTTGTAGACTTGTTTTCTAGTTCTTCAACTCATGTCAAGTCTTGCAAAAGAAAGAGGGAGAAAAAGAGAATAGATGGTGCACATGATATTAAAGAAAGAAAAATATACAATTTAATTTCAACTGTTCAACTAATGATGATGTCAAGTGGCAGTGGGAGAAAAAGATTTTTTTTCAAATCCCAATATCATATATTACCTTCCTAGAATCTGTACGTAGATGTGAAGTGGAAATATTTCCTATTCCATCCCTGTAGTATACTGAGTGGACCCTAGGGGGTAATTTTGCTAAAAGATTTTTAAATGAGGAAACACCAGTACCACCTGGTCTAGTTTGATATTCAACCCTGTCAACAGAAAACTCCAGTTATACTTACAGAAAAAAATTATATACAAAGGGGGAAATGTCAGAATAAATTCAGAAGAATATAAAAACAACATCCAAACCAAAAGATACTATAAGTTAATGTTCCATTAACTTTAATCCCGCTTATCAATTGGTAAAGTACATGTTATACTGAGGTTATTTCAACTCTTGGAAGTTCAAATACTAGAGTAAAATTACAGTGTGGGTCTGTGCCAATCTACATAAATATAGAATAAGTAACATAGGTGCCTATGAAGAAAGTGTCAATCTATCTGCTCCTGCCACGATGTGATAAAAATCTTAAAAATTTCCTTTTTTTGTGCTTAACGACTTTAAAAAAAATTTCATGGATGCTGTCATCAAATGTTGCACTAAAACATGTAAGAAAAAGACAATATTTGAAGTTACTAACAAATTATCAAACAAGGAAGAATTGTGAGAAACTAGATAATGTTTCTCGAGATGAAATGAGAGCACATTGACAATCTACAATACATATAAGCATAATAAGCATACAACAACTAAATAAATATATTTGAAAAAGGTCATGCCAAACATGTAAATAATAACTATTTCATCATGTTGACCGTTCTGACATGTATGTAAATTTTCTATTTCTTCTAAATCAGAACAGTTGCATATGTTATTTCCCGAAGAACTAAATGAAGATCTGAAGCATCAAGTAAAATAAAAAAGAAATAATAAATATACCTAGAAAAGACACCTTTATGTTGAGCACCAGCATGGACTAAGCTATATCGCTCTGTGACTTGAATGCTTCCCCAGTGAGATATTTCAATTTCCCGTTCTAGCTCCTCAACAACAGCAAATGGATTGTTATTTTCAAAATGAACAAGTACAGGAGAATATGAATACGGGGGTTGACTTTCATATGGCCCATATTTCAACTCTGTACCAGCACGTTTAGTGGGGTCCACCACTGTGAATGATTCTACCCGAGTGCTTGGTGTCTTAATAAAAGTTGTCTGTTGCTTGACATGATAGGGAGACAATAATATTGCACTATCACGGAAATAAACCAATTGTGACTCTGATTGACTTATTTCAACTGGGAAAGGTTCCAGAGAACGTGTCAATATGTAAAGCACCTCCAGTGTTGTGGTTTCACCTTTACTTAATGGACTTAACAAAGCTATAGAGAAAAACTTAGTTCCATTTGGTCCATCAGGTAACTCAGCAGATTTGACATCAAGAGGAACATAAGTTTTCTTCTTCCTCTTCCCAGAAGTTGCAGCAGCTTTGAGTGTTGCTAGATGTTCAACTTCAGTGGGTGAAAAGGCCAGATGTACTTCAGAAGCAGCAGATGTCCCCAAATTTTCAACCTGAGGAAAACTCAGAAATATAAAATTGACAAATTTTGTAAATGACAATTTAATAGAAAAATCCAACGAAAAGAAATAAAAACAAATAATTTCAAGTTATAATTTGATCCAAACAAATACTGATTTGTTGCTCTAAGAATCCAAAACAAGTTATAAGCTTCAATAGACTCAAGCATTCTTAGACCCCTCCCCATGTTCTGCATACCAAACATGGCCTAAGTATTTGCAGAAGGTACCTCAAATCAAATTGGGAAAAAGTAAAACTCAGCAAAGTCGTTAAATATTACTATTATGCATGGTTAAAAGAAGTTCTAATACATTGTTTTGTACAGACATAAATTTGGTTCAAACCACTTTTCACAGAAATTATATTAAAATTCATCTGGCCAACTTAAACATGATTTTTATATGCCAGTAACTTAATCAAGTACCGTACTTAAGTTAAGTCCTCATTCCCAGCTGAATATGGAATACAATTTACAGATATGCAAAACAGAAACCATGAAAAACACTAGACATAGGACCTGTTTGGATAAACTTTTCCATAAGCATTTCTAGAAGAAGAAGAAAAAAAAAGTTCGTAAGTTAAATTTGACTCATGCAGTAGCTAATTTATTGAAATTCTCGCTTCTCAAAGATCTGAGTTTTAACTTATACACAAACTAACTTTAGCTATTTAAAAAACTTATTTCATCTTTTCTTCTCCTACACATGCTTACAGTAAAATTATCCAGACAGAACCCTACTATCAAAAGAGTAATAGTATGGAGAGGTTACCTTCAATGTCAAGTACACCTTAATGATATGAGAGGTCAAGTCAATCTGCAAGGATAGTTGGCATATTAGTCATGCAACGTATAGACAAGAGCACTTGGTCGATGCCAAAATATAGAGGAACATACACAACATTTCCTAAAGAATAAAAGCACACAGAAATATAACAAATGTTATAAAGAAAAAAAAAAAAGTCATCTCTATTAAATTTATCTAAACTCGTATTACAGAAATAGGACAAACCAGTCCACTAGTACCCTCCCAAAATCATAGAATACAACATTTTTAATAAACGAGCCAGAATAATTAAGCCTCAATTTCCCAAAACTGCAAAAAACACAAGAGTAAGCACCAAAATACAAGTGGCACATTCATTTGACGCTAGAATTATCCATTTACACGAATCTACGATATTTATTGTTATACCCATGTTGCATGTTCAAACTTAGTAGGCAGTGATCAGCACACGGGAACAAATTTTTTCCATTTTGGCACAGATCTTGAGCGAAAGCGCATGTTAGTGAGAAAAAAAAAAAAAAAAAAAAAAAAAAAAAACTTACCCTGCGTTCGGCATTGGCGATCTGAACGTGTTGAGAAGGAGAGGAGTTCACAATTGAAAGAAGGGAGAGAAAGAGGAGAAGCGTAATCAGAGGTTGAGGGACCATTGCCATTGCAGTTGTTGACGGAAGCAGGGGAGACTCCGAAGTCTACACTGCAATTTTGGGTTTATTAGATGGGAGTGTATAGCTCCCAATTCACAGTAGACGATGCTCAATTCCAATTTGGGTCAAATCAAAACAAATGTTTTATTTTTAGTATTAATTCAAGTCGACCCGGCCCAATCAGCCCAGTCAAACCATTCTTCTTCTTGCTACTAATTCTTACACCAGATATATCAGTTCAAAAAGTTAGGAAGTGAGGGGTTATAAGTGGTTTAAGTTTACAAAAGATTTTTAATTTAATATACCACCTCTTTTTCACTTACAGTATTCTCAGTTAGGATGAGTTCATTTTTTAGATACATCTTTCGGACCTAAGTTAAAATAATTATTTTAAAATTAAAGTTTTGTACAATATAAATTAAAAAAATGAAAGAATAAGAAGAACTAAAAAAAAAATGTTGTAAGAATTTATAAAAAAATAATTTAATGTATTTGGTGCTAAGTGTATATATGAAATATTATATCATGTAAAACAAATACAAACTTTAAAGGAAAATAATTCTTCTGTTTATTTCTACGGAATTAGTTTTATTTTATTTTACTTTTAAATCATCCTTACCATGTAATAATGTATAAAAAAAATAAAATTTTACTCATTGTTTTATATGAATTTTTAAATGTGAAACAAAAACTAATAATTATTTTAGATCTTAATTTATAAAAGTAAGAAAAAAATTAAATGTCAATTTAAGATTTCAATGTTTTTAAAAAGATAAATTAAACTAAAATTTTGTGTTTTTATTAACTAATAATATATAATAAAAACCAACTATTAACTTTTTAATGTAACATCTCCTTTTATACACATATTTATCAATATATATGTATATATATTACATTAGTATGCACGTGAATTTTATTTCAAAACATGTTATATAAATCTGTTTTTACTTTAGATATAATTATTTTACTATATATTTAATTTGTAGTAATTTTTCAATAGAAACTTGTAATAATTTTTATTAACATGAATTCTCATTTTTTATAAATATAAAATTCAATAGATTTGCTCAAATTAATTAGATGTTACAATTTAATAAATATGTTATTTAATACTAATATAATAATTATTTTTATTTATTAATAAAATTGATTGGTAATAGAATTTAATAAATGGAGAATACATTAACATGATTTAATCACTGTGAAATTTTGTTAAACTCATATATAATATGCCATGTCATTCATTGGTTATACTTCATTAGTGAAAATTTAGTACATGGATATTTTCATATTCCCAACCAAGATATAGTGTGTTGTTTTATTACGAGAAGGAAATTATTGTAACAGCTTCGACAGAGAATCACTCTAAACATTACACATTAACATAACAGCTGTTACCTATTTTTCTCCTAAATTTTCCACCTTTAGAACCGGAATCAGTATACACACTATACATTGGCATAACAAATCATGTCTCTGAGAGAAAAAAGTGGAAAAAAATCTCAAGACCCAAAACAGAAACAAAGAAAAAAAGAAGAATATCAATCCATATGTAGCTTTTAATTTTCTTTGCCACTTTGAAGGAACATTTTGATGTTAACAAGTGCCACACATGGCGTGCATGAAGCTGGGATCCAAATCTGAAATGTTTTACCTCTATGGCCAAAGTTGGTCAGTTGTTGTTTCACTTCTTTCTTATCGTTTAATTACATCGTTACAATCTCATCAGTGATCTTTGTTCCTTCACGGTGTGTCACTGTTATAACATGTTCCCTTCATCCTTTGACAAGCTTAAAATATTAGTTTTGATTGATCGGAGGAAGTTTCTGGCTTGTTTTTTGGTGGCTGGTGAATGTATATGCATGGTGAATATGATTTCACTATTTCGAAGTAGATCAGTTGGATAATTAACATGATAAACCTCGTTTCAAGTTAGATCCTGCCCTTAATATGTAACTGTAAGTAATTTGTTTGTCGTTTTTGAAAGGAAGAAAATGGTTCTACGTTGAAAGCTGTTATGTAATTTCTATGTGATTAATTAGAATTAGGAGGTATTTGGTTGTCTTTGCTTTTAAAACATAAGTTCTTTTTTGGATCAATAATGGAAAATTAAACGTAAACAAAAGGGCATTATTGCCTTTAACAATAAAGGTATAGTTTTAAGTGAACCATTTAAATTATAGATGTATATTTTATCCTCTGACCTTAATAGTTGTGTGTTACATAACACGATTGGATTTCCATTTTTCTTATTCAGAATGATGCATTAATGCAATGAACAACGGAATTATGTAGACTTTAAGATGGATGACAATGAATTATAATGGAAGTTGACGAGCTTTGATGTCGGAAAAAACAACAAATAAATGCAAATATGTATATACAGTGAAGAGGTCATGTTTGTTGACTCTTGAAAAGTTCAATACCATCATGAATGAAGGTTAGTAGAAAAGGAGGACAATCAATGTCTACTTAGTCTAATGATGGAGTATGGAGCTATAATTATATTCCTGCATAAAGAGGCCCATGGAAGGAGATGGTTTATTCCAAACAAGAAACAAGAGAAGATAGCAAGTGTGAGGGAGTCTCTTAGTGAGAGTATAATCATTTCTTATAACTGATACACAATTTGGTTTGCATTATGATTTTTGTGATATTTGATGTAGTGAAATACTTTGATTCCCTTGTGTGTTTTTTCCCAATAAATGTTCAAAATCGATTTCACAATGTGAGAATGATTATAACTTTAATACATTCTACTTGCTCTCTTGTTTATAGTGACAAATTTGAAGCTGAATTCTGAACCCAGTTGCATCAACAGTGTCTATATATTCTATACATAATTCTATATTTTATTTATCAGTGAAATCTTGTTTTAGTTTATTAATTATCATTAATTAACCTTGTTGGCTGTCAAATGCCCATCTCTAGGCTGTGCTCAACTGGACTTCCAAGTGATATCATTATTGAAATTGGTGATACATCTTTTCATCTCCACAAGGTGAGTTTTCATAGTTTCTATTGTTGCTTTCTAATAATAATATCTCCAGATACCATGCGTTTTTAAGATATCATTAAAAATAGGAGTTTCTCAGCGTTTTGCTTCATTCTATATATATTTGTTTGTTGTAGTTACCATTGCATGATTAATCCGTTTCTTTCCGCGTTACCAGTTTCCACTGATATCAAGAAGCAAAGAGCTAGAAAGTTTGATGAGAGAAATATCAAACGGACATGAGAAGTCTGTTTTGGAACTGCATGACCTACCTGGAGGAGGCAAGGCCTTTTTGCTTGTTGCTAAGTTTTGTTATGGTGTTAAAATGGAGTTGACTGCATCGAATGTGGTTGGTCTCAGATGTGCAGCAGAGTACCTCCAGATGACTGAGAACTATGGAGAGGGGAACCTGATCATGCAAACAGAAAATTTCCTTAATCATGTGTTTGGTTACTGGACAGATACTCTTGATGCTCTTAAAACATGTGAAGAGGTTTTACCTTTTGCTGAAGAGCTTCACATCGCTTCACGAAGTATAAATTCTTTGGTGTTGAAAGTTGCAGATCAAAGTTTGGTTAATTTGCCTGTCTCCTCAGCTCAAAGTGTTGCTCAGAGTCCAGAGGACGCAGAAGTGTGGAATGGAATAAGCCTAACACCAAAGGCATCAGCTGAAGATTGGTGGTTTGATGATGTATCTTCCCTTAGTTTGAAATTGTATAAAAGGTTCATACAAGGTGCTAGTGCACGAAACATGAAACCTAGGAGAATTGCTGGATCCCTTGTTTACTATGCCAAAAAGCACATCCCCTTATTGGGAAGTCAAACAAGTTCACAGAATGGAAACTCGTCTTCTTTTAAGTCATCTCTTTCTACCCCTTCTGAAGCAGATCAAAGGAATCTTATAGAGGAAATAGTGGAGTTGCTGCCAAATGAAAAGGGCCTAGCACCAACCAAGTTTTTGCTGGTGTGTCTGCGGACAGCAATGGCCTTATATGCTAGTTCATCTTGCTGTTCAAGCTTGGAGAAAAGAATTGGTGCTCAATTAGATGAAGCAGATCTGGAAGATCTTTTGATTCCAAATATTGGATACTCAATGGAGACTCTTCATGATATTGACTGTGTCCAGAGAATGCTTGATCATTTCATGATTGTAGAGCATGATGTCATTGATAGCGCATCTAATGATATTGAGGAAGAAAGGCGCATAGTTGGAAGTTCTCAAGCTCTGAGTCCAATGGCAAAAGTGGCTAACCTGATAGATTCTTATTTAGCTGAAGTGGCACCTGATGTAAATGTGAAGTTACCAAAATTTCAATCACTTGCTGCTGTAATTCCTGATCATGTCAGGTCCCTGGATGATGGCATATACCGTGCCATTGATATATATCTCAAGGTACAAAAGAAAATCTATAACTTTCTTTCCATATTTTGTAAATGATAATATGATCATAGATCATGATGTGACCTAATAGTTGGTGAAGGAGCTTATTGCATGATAACAAAACTTCACTATGTACAGTATATAATTGTAACGCAACTTTTTCTTGTTAATAACTTGAAAGTGCAAAAACGTTTTATAGTCATTAAATTGTATATGACAAGTATGATTTATTTATTTATTTTATATACTTACCGTGACTTTTAATTTGGTTGATTGTGTAAATTTTTTTACACTGATAATAAATAAATTTAAACTCTTCACTAATAATTTAACTAGAGGCTCTGCAAGTTTATGTCCAGAAAATGCAGTGTAATGTAATATGGTCTATGAAGGATACTAATGGACTCTAAATTTCAGAATCATCAATGGCTGACAGACTCTGAGAAGGAACAAATATGCAGGGTCATGAATTGCCAGAAGCTGTCATTGGAAGCCAGCACACATGCAGCTCAAAATGAGAGGTTACCACTTCGTGTAGTAGTCCAAGTCTTGTTCTTTGAACAACTGAAGTTGCGCACATCTGTTGCTGGCTGGTTCTTTGCTTCTGATAATATTGAGAACTCACAAAACCTGAATGCAAACCTGCCTCTGATAAGAAATGATGGCAACACTCCACACAACCCAGTTGTGGCTTTTGATAACGTGAAAGAGAGAGTGGCTGAACTTGAGAAGGAGTGCTTCAGCATGAAGCAAGATTTGGAAAAAATGATGAAGTCAAAGGGAAGTTGGAACACGCTCCTTAAGAAATTGGGTTGCAAGCTTGTCCCAAAACCCCCTAATGCCAATGTCTCCAAGCCATGCAGGAAGTCCAAAATAACACCAGCAACCACAGCCCAGATGGAAGAAAAGAGCATGGAAGTGAAATGAAAGACTTGAAGTAGAAAAACAATTTGCAGTGTTTTGCTTTTTCTTTTTGCCTTATTCTACTTAGACATTAGAATTTTGGAACAGTTTTTCTTTTGGCCAGGCCATTTTAGTCAGCATAAATGGCTATTGCCATACCCTCTTTTATATTAGTTGAAAAACTGAAGAAGCTTTTCTATTACCTAAGTTCTTCCATTCATTGTCACTTTCTCCAAATTCACAGAAGTATCTTTCAACATTAAAGTTTTAAGAGTAGTTCATTTCACAATGAAAAGGAGACCACATAAGCCAAATAGATTCTCTCATGTTTCCATCTAATATTTGTTGAGACTTAACTTTACAAACCCTCATAAAGAGTAGAGTCTAGCAGAAAGAATTTATAATAAAATCACTTTTTAATAACATATTTAAATTAAATCTATTTTATATTGTAACAAAAGATCTATTTCACAATAATATAGCAATGATAATTAGAATAATTTGTTTTCATTGTCAATCCACTGAGTATAAAAATTTTAAGAAAAAATTTATATCAAATAATGAAAATGACTTATCATTTTAATAACCTTGATTTAACAACCTTTATAATAAAATTCATGATATGTTTTTTATATAATAAAGAGTCTTAAAATCAAAGCTTCAAGATTTTTTTTCTCCATAGCATATATAATTAGGATACTCCCGAGAAAGGTTACACAAAATTATCCTTATTTTTAATGACTCAAAATTTTATTAGACATTTTTATTTAAACACTACACCCTTGTTTATTTAAACCTTTTTTTACCGAATTTGACTTAATCCAATTTATAGGCATTGATATTAACTTATACATAATTGAATCATAAAATTAAAAAAAAAGGTAAAAATATTAATTAAAATATATTTCAAATAATAGTGTAAATATGAATATAATATCATATTGTATATAATATTATTTATAAAATAAAAGTATTATTATTAGTATATAAGTATTTAAAAAATTATACATGTTCAGTAAACTTAAAATCAAATTACGATAAGTTCAAATATAATCCAAACTCCTCTTTTAAATAAATCGAATTTATTTTTCAAATCTAAATCACTCAGTTAAAAATAAATAACTAGGCATAAGTTTTACTAATTTTTTAAAAAACATAAAATTTAAACGTATTATACGAGTATTCATAAGGACAAAGGATAGGTAATAAATATAACCCATTTCAACGTTGTATCTTCCGATCAAAATTACATCGGAAAACAAAAAGGGAGAAAATATTGCCGGTGGAGAAGGACGTGAATGGTGAAGAGGTAGAGGTAAGTTTATTGTTCTCTATGCTCCAATTCTCTCTCACCATTAAACTCTATATTCTTCTCTTCTGCTTCCCACAATTAAATCACTCTCCACACTGTCCAACCAATCCGTTCAATTCGTTCCCTTTCTGTCCAAATCAAATCATTTCTAACAACAATAATAAAAAAAAATGCATTTATCATTCCGAAAACTGAATGGCCCAATCTTCTGAGCCCAAAGATTTGCTAACAACCGTAGATTGTTGGACTGAATGAAGCATTCTTTAGTTTGTAATCGCATCGGAGACTTGTGTATGTGTATCTGTGCGTGTGTGACGGGAGTGGTTGTGGCATGTTAATTTATTGTGACTCTGTTTGTAGCTTGAATATTACATGTTTGATAGAATGCCAATTCCAATGGCATGAATGAATTGGTAATTGTTGCTTTTCACTCCACAGGTCACACAGCCGAGATTTCACGCCAACATTCCAATTCTGTGGCCAATGATAATGACCACAGTCCAGAGTAAGGGGGCAGCAAAGGGAACTGCCACAACTGAGAAAGCATTTAAAAGATGGGGCAGGAAAAGCCCATTTGTAAGATATGGCCTTCCTATGATCTCTCTCACTGTCCTTGGCTCTCTAGGCCTTGCCCAACTCTTGCAAGGCAGGTTAGTTACTGCCCTGTAAGCTTTATGTTTGAGAGAAAATAGTTTACAGTGTTTTAGGCTTCAGAATGGTTGTATTCTTCACTGTCATTCAATCATATGAATTTGTTTACTTTACAACAACTATCTGAAAATTTACATTTACCATAATTTCTTATTATTTGACTATGTAAATTTCTTATAGAGACGGTATATAAAATCTAACTTTGTGTGTTTTACCTAACCGTACATTTTTCATTGCTTTTTCTGTTTTACTTCATCCTCATTCTAAAATATAATGCAACTGTATCTGTTCAGCAAGGATATTGCAAAGGTGAAAGATGATCAAGAGTGGGAAATAATTGAAACAAGAAAAGCATTGTCTAGGACAGGACCAGTCCATGCGTACAACCCAAAACAGATTTCCTTGGAGGATGAGCTAAAGGTCTGTATTCCCTTCATTCACAATATAACGTAGTCTAGATTATCCACGATTGAGTTTCTATTTGTTGTTGTATAGGCTTTGCAACAAAAGGTGGACATTAACAACTATGAGTACAAGAAAATTCCTAAACCTAATGAAGGCAATGGAGACTAGAGTAGAGTTGTGGATTTGAAACAACTTTTGTCAGAATTTCTCATGTACCATGCTCAAAATCAACTTTTGTTGAGTCAAAAGCCATTCCCATCTTGCTGGTGAAGTTGGTCTTGCCCTGCATTTTAGTGTTTTGACTTTTGATTATGACATTATGGCAGTGGAAGAGTTGAGATAAAATTTTGAAATTTGTGTATCAAGGATTTTTAAGTACGGTGCTGGGAACAGCAAAAGGTACTTGCTTGGTTCCACTTTAATAAGGGTGAAATAGTGTAAATGTTTCTTGTCATGTTTTAGTTTGTCTTTTGTACCTAGCCTGCAGTTATGCACATTGGATGTTATAACGATAAGCTAATGGGGTCACTTTTGCAATCACAAATGACCCGCGCTTCATTTTAAGTGTTATCAAGTAAAATTGCTGGTAGAATTATTAGAAACGGTAAGCGGTTTTACTGATCTGTACCGAAAGTTTATGTCTATAGGCCCCAAAAAAGAATAGTACATTTCTGGAATGACTACATTAGGACTTGATACTTGTTTGCTAGCAAAGTACGAAGTTCAAACATTCACCTATTATTTAAATTACACTTCAAAATTCCAACTGGAATTGCATCTGATGACTGCAATTAAGGCAGTAAAAGTTACATTATGCACAATTTTCTACAATATTAACTATCTCCACATAACTGCAGATACAATTTAGAGCACTGTACTGTACTTTTCAATGACCTAGAAAAAGAATCCACACTATATATCAATGACCTAGAGATAGAATCCACAAACTTTGAGGCCGAAGATGAAACTATCCATACACCACGAGATAGTCTCAAGGAAATGAAAGTTAACTTATGATCAAACACTATGCTTCTCTACGAAACAGCTCCGCTGGCAAAACATGAGAAGGTATCCTAATATTGGGCTTTCTTGAGTCAATGACCTCCAGAATATGAAATACAGTAGCCAATGACCTCCAAGGTTTTAGGTCGTCTAAACATAAGAATGTAGTTTGTGTATGGGTCCCTCAAATATCTCATCAGTCTCTTTGCAGCTCTTCAATGATCCATACTTGAATAACTCAGAATATCTGCTTAACATCCCAACAGAAAATGTAATGTGAGGTTTTTGCGTGAAGCTATGCATGCTCTAGATTTTCAACAAAAGCATAGGAAAGGTATGCATTTATTCATGATGATTCTACGGGTATTGGTTCGAATGAATCTGGTCACCCTTCGTAAATAGGTGGTATACACTAAGTCAACAATTTCTTTATCCCAAATACTAGAATTAAAGTAAACAGAAGCCGAAATATTAGAACTGAATTCAACAGTAATTATTTGGATTCTGCAAAATTTTGCATAAGACTAGTTGGGAATCTTCCATTCCCCAAAATTCTGCAAAATTGTTAGTAATGATTTGACAGAATTTCCATGAAGCCAGCAACCAAATTGGAATAGTGAAATCGTGATCCCTGATAAGTGATAACTCCTGTTGCAATAGACCAAGGCAACTAAAACTAGCCTTCTTTTTTTCATTGAGCAAGTTGACTGCTGGTCTTTTAGTGGATAGAGTTATTGTGGTCCTTAATGTCCAAATCCAAATACCTTATTATGGTTTTTGGTGTACAGATACCTAGACATGGACGTATTATTGAATTTGGGTTTTAATAATTGGTTTGTATCCAAATTTAGTCAGTCCTGTGTAAATAACCTGTGTGCAGTTGAAAAGATAGTCTAGATGATGAGCCTTAGTCCATCATCTAAACACATGGGGAAAAAACAAGAGAGCACTTGTTTACAGTGCTGGAAGAGAACGGGATCACAGATGAGTACAATAGAATGATGGATCACACTACAACTAATTATAAACATGTCCATGTATGGCAGGGATGGGTTCACTAGATTTGTCGTTTCAGACCTGCTTACACGTGACTTGTATCAGTGCAATACATTAGTCACATGTGACTCGCATAATTTCTCCCTATATGCAAATAACCGAGAGTGCTGTGTAAGAAAAAAAACAAACCATTTAAGACCTCATAGCACTGCTTCTAAGGTGATGGAGCAACAATTTTCTGATCCCATAAGAGTAATGTTTTTTACATATATAAGAAAATCTTTCAACAGTTTATACACGAGAAAAAAAACCTGAGAAGGTGTGTACATATTGTCATAAAAAGTTTTGTACTAATAATGTAGTTCATCTCAAAATACTTCTTATGAGCGAGCTATATCCTTTTAACAAGACCAGTCCTGAATTGATGCCATTTTTTGTATAAATGAAACAAACGTTAAAAAAAAAAATCAATAACTGAATAGAACTAATGACTAGCTGATGTTTTGGAGTTTATAAATAAATCAATTATTTATGCTTCAGTTGTGTTTTCTCCTTAGAAGCATTGCATAGAATAGCCGTTATGTTCACAGTGCGGACTCAAGGAAAGTAGTGCCTGCACCGGCGCCAAAACTACTAAGATCTGGGGGCTGTTTAAATAATTATTTATACTTTAATAGCACATAGATTTAAACACTCATACATTAAAATTGCTAAATTAAATGTTTAACTTAATTTTGTCAGTCTTACCATTAGTATTTTTTTATTAATTTCTATCATTCAAAACATTAGTTTTTCTAAAATAATATTGCATACGTAATAAAAAATACTTACTCGAATAATTTTACATCGTACCATTTGTTCGAATAAGTCGGATCATTTAAATTGATAGTTTTAAACGTACTACTACAAATTCTGCATAAAACTCCACAGGTAAATGCACTGTGTTTAGAGAAAAAACTAGCTGTACAAAATTATGCAGAGTTTGTGTGAATTCAACCATTGCCCTGGCATGTCAGAGTTTGGTAGAAACAAGAAAGCCTTGATGTTCACAAGCATTTACTGTAGCACAATGTGCCCTTTTCGCTACGCATTTGCATGCCTAGAGATGGAGACACATAAAAGACAACTTACTGGAAAGAACTAGTTCTGAAAGAATTGAAAACATATATATTATACTGATGGATCATCCCAACCATTTGCACAGCTACAAGCTTTATACCCAGGTGTCCCAGAAAAAAAAAGCCATTCTTCTGTATGTACACCAGCCTCAAAAACGACATGATCGGAGGAGAGACAAGTGAAGCCAAAAGAAAACCCTTTAACCCCCAAAATAGAAGAAACATAATTTAGTAAATTCCTGTCTACTTCCCTTTACTCCGTTGGATTTTAAGTAACCCTCCACCCTTTCCTCAACTTTTATTCATTTTTACATACATTAAACAACAAAATCACAGCTCAAAGAAATCTTCTGTTTATGTATGTCTCCCGTTTACTACCACCCTCCCCCACATATTTTATAAGCCAAAATGGCAAAATCAGTGGAAGGGCTTAATTTGAAGACGGTTTCACAAAATCCCTGTTGGATCACCTTGGGCTTGGTTGTGATCTGACTGACAACAGTGGCTGGAGAAGCCTCTGCCCTGATGGACTACCTAGTAACATGGCCTGAGATCGAGTAAGCATCTCAGCCATTGAAGGTGTCTGATATGCCTGAACTAGACTTGACCTATCAGTGGAATCACCTCTTGCTGTTGCTCTTTGCCATGAGTGTGAACTCAATCCAGAGAGTATATATGCTCTCCCAGATGCTTCATACACATGCCTACTCGCCATCCGCTCTTGCATTTCCTTAAGTTCAGCATCCAATGCAACACAAAGACGGTCGTGAGATTTGGCTGAAATGGTCTCTGACAGCATCTTTCTACAGTTTTCAAGGATTAATACTGCTCCACTTAGGTCCCCTCGTTCAGCTGCAACACGAGCCTGAGCCATTGCCTCGGCTGCATGGAGCCTGTTGCGTTGTCTGTCCACTTCAAGTGACATTACTACCTGCCCGGCAATTTCTGTCCTTTCAATCTTAACTTCCTCACTTTCCATTGTTGCTGTTTCCTGAGTTAAGGGATCCTTGTATACACATTTGACCTTTATCAATGATGTTTCATTGTCAGATGTAGCTGGGACATCGAGTGAAACAAGAAAATCCCTCTCTTCATCGGCATACAGGTCTCCAACGTCAATCAATCCTTTGTGTCCATCAGCAATCAAACGGCTTGGGTAACTTCCTGCTTTTAGCGAGACAAGACTGAGTTTTGGGTGTATACACTCAATTCCCACTTGAAGCTCCTGAACAACTACACTCAGAAGTCCTCCAATGCATTGTGCAAACGCATCCTGTAACACAGCTTCGGTCTCAATGAAAGAAAATGTGCCACCAGAAATCTCTGAAATTGAGTGCATTAGAGAAGCATCATGATCTGCACCAAATCCAAAAGCATGCACGGGAATTTGAAATGTTGAATTATCACCACCACTGATAGAGGTGGGCAGAAGAAACTGGTAATTTAGTTGAGGCTGGTTAGTTCCAGAGCTATTGACAGTGTAATTATCTTGACCATCAGACAACAGAATAATACTGGCAACTGGATTCTTTTCCTTTCGATCTTCCATTATCTTGGCACCTTTTCTCAGCCCTTCGGCGATATTGGTACCACCATTTGCAACCAAAGAATTAACAGCTTGCAATGCCTGCTGCCGCCCGGAATCAGTCATTCTGCACAAGGGAAATAGGCGGCGAGCTGTGGAAGAAAAAGCAATAACAGAGAGCCGGTCATTAGAGCCAAGGTTCTGTATGACGAATCCCATAGCTCTTTTGAGTAGTGCAAGCTTAGTTCCAGCCATGCTACCACTCACATCAAGCACTGTGACCAAGTCAACAGGGGCACGAGGAGTCTGAGAAATCGGTGCCAAGTTTGCCTGGTTTCTACTAAGGTTTTGTCTTTTGGCTGCAGCAGCAGCTGCGGCTGCAGTTGCTTTGAGATGAACCAAAACTGTGAAGTTAGAATGAGTCTTGGATCCTGGAGCAGCAGATACTTCTGGGAATGTTTTAATCTCCATTGCTCTAGCAGCCTCAGTATCTTTAGTATTCACATGGCAAGGACTTCTATCAGAAAACACATGTTGATGATTCAAGGATTCATCATCATCAAATATGCCTGGCTCAGAAGCTTGATAAAGTGGCACGACATGCCTCCTATTCAAATCACGGTGAGGATGGGGTAGGGGTAGACGATGGACCACTGCCATCAAAGCATCATTTTGGGGCCAATTGATTGGACTTGGTGAAACTCTGCCAGGGAGAGGCTCCAAACTGGGACCCGATAAGGGTATTTCCTTCCACTTTGCTCTACACACTGGACATATTTGGTTTCCATGTTTCACATTTGAAGCAATGCAGTGGAAATGGAAGGAATGTGAACATTCTGCAGTGAATATAGCATGGCCGGATCCTTGCTTCATTTTGGTTAAGCATATTGAGCAGGTTTGCTGAATGTTTGAAAATAAAAGCTTGTAAGAATATATATAATTTATGTAAATTATTTGATAGAGGTTCAAGGCTTCATGCAAATAAAGGAAATTCATGAACGGATTACACAAGGTAAATTAATAGTATTCGTATAAAATATTACTCCTAGTTCCAATCAAGGAAAATGTCAAACAAATACGAAAAAATAACGAATATTTGAAACACAGTACTCATTTGATATACAAAAGTTAAAAAACAGAAATTTATCTGCAATATTATTTTCCAACCTTAAGTATTTTAACTATTTAACGTGCACAATTTGGAAACAATCACATTCTTTTTCAACTATAACTATTATTCATAAGATCTCCAATAAGCAATAGGCTTTTAAATACAGAGATAGAGCGATGGTCAAAAATCTACTCTCCCTGTCTAGTCAGGCAAATCTGAATGCTACAGAAAGGGACTAAAGCAGCATTTACACCGGCCAAAAGTATTCCAATCACATAAAATTGAATATTCAGCAAATCAGTTTTACCACAGTCATCAAAAACTGCTATTTTGACTTGACCAAATGAACAAGCAAACCAATATATCATATCACAATTGCTTTTAGAAGAAAAAAATTGCTAGGCCAATAGAAAGGAAAAGGGAAAATCTTATCCATAAAAGAAGTGGCACGGAAGCATGCAGAAAACAGTAATATCAGCTTAAGGCACACAGCACAATTTTTTATACAAAACTTCAAAATCACATATGCCAACACTCGTATACACTATTGGTACAAGTCAATAAATTACAGCTCTATGCCTATGTCGCAGCACGGTAGAAGGAGACAAAAGAAACCAAATCAATACAATGAACCTAACTACTAAAATGGTATTTTGGTCCCTAAAAACAGGTAATACCACCCTGAATTTTACTCCCTGATTAAAATACCACGTACAGTTCAAGAAATCAGTCCAAACTCATTTTGCGTTACTATCCAACGAATTCAAATAAATTTCACAACTAAATCACATACCTACCTTAAATCAGGAACTATATTACAAACGACCGATATTCTCAGACACCAAAAAGATGCTAGTTCATTCTCAAGAGCGACAACAACATAAGACAGTCATTTCCGGTTCAAACAAATGATTCCTTTCCTCACACAAAAAAAATTAAACAACCTTAAAAATATTTCTTTTCTTTTTTATGTTAACAACGTTTAATCTGGAACCCCGTTGAGTATGGTAATAAAATTTCTTATTCTGAGCAGATTCATTTCTAGTCCATTTAAATTTCACAAACAACCAGACCAAAATAGAACCTGTCAAAATATTTAAATAAAAAACACAAACATACACACACTAGAGAGAGAGAGAGTAACAAATTGGAAAGGAATGAGAGACACAGACCTTGGAGGATTTGCTGCTACTTTTGGAAAGTTTCAAGCCATGAAAAGAGGAAAGCGGCGTAGTGGGGCGGGATGAGCTGGTGTTCCAGCTGGCCGGAGAAAGCAGAGCGGCGTCAGAGAGGCGCTCGGAAACCACCGTATGGGGCGGCGAATCGTCATCTAAGGTTCTGGGAACAAACATGCAGAGGTTGAGACCGAGCGCGACCTTGGCTTTCTTCCACTTGCTTGCCATGTTGGAGTAACGTTGAGATCTCTCTGACGCCGAAAATGCTGCAACCCAGAAAGGAAAAAGCTCTACCCCGCAAATCCCAGATCTCAAATGGCGAAAAGCTTCGAGCTTTGCAGAGAGAGAAGAAATGGGGTTTTATGAAAAGTAGGAAGGAGCACGAAAACCGAGGCCACTGAATGAATAGATATATGCGTTGGCAGAGGAGGAAAATAAAACGAATGGCAGAAGCTACTAGCGAGCATTATAATGTAGCACTAGCATGGTTTGAGAAAGAAGAGAGAGAGATGCAAGTGTTTGGTTTGGTCTGGTTTTGTCGTTGTTAATATTGAGGATGCTACGTTGGTTGTTGACGTTGTTTTTGTTGGCGGCCATGAACTGAGTGTGCGTATGTGTGTTGGAGATGAGTGTGTGAGTGAGAGGAGCATTTTGACCTCTTTTTTAGGCTCCTTTACCCAAAAGATTAAAGCCATGGTAAAAGCCATCAAATTAAATCATTTTCAAACACATTATTATTATTATTATTATTTATTATTATATATAAAAAATTATAGAAAGCACGTTTTGGTTGAACGGGAAAAAAGTTGGTGTCACTGCTTCCTGTGCTTTATTATCCCCTCTTTACTACGATCCGATCATATCATATAATCATCTTCATTTCTTTCTTCCTTTTTTGCCCCTTCCTCTTCAATACCCTAACCACTCTACTAAATATTATTTCCTTTATTTTTTTTATCATCAATTTTTAAATAGAATTTTACTGTCACTTTCAAATTTTGGATGGTTCAAATTTTTTGTTTTGACCTTTTTTATTTTTATTTTGAGACAACATTAATGATTTTTTTCTCATTTATATCTTTATTTTGACCAATATTTCATTTATACATATATACATGTATATTCTTATGATGTAGAAATAAATAAGAGTAAAATAAAAAATATATGGTAAACATTTCATTAAGATCAAGAAGATTTATAGTTTTTCATAATATTTCAAAATCAACTTTAAATACACTTAAAAAGAACCTTATACGATTGTGAATTTACCTTTCGTTTAAATTTTTTTTTCTACTTTTACTTGTTCAACAATACTACAAATTAAAATATAAAAAGGATGTAATCTTTTGTCGTAAATTTAAACCATTATATTTATAGATTTTTGTATACTTATATATTATTTAATTTATCAATATAACAAAAAAAATAGCAGATAATGATTACATGTATGAAAAAAATTGGTTTTGTTATTAAAGTACTTGATTTTTTTTTCTATTGCAATTAAAGAAAGTGCGTACATTTTATGACAGACTCGTTATGATTGACTTTGGTTCGAATATCGAATCGGTCAGGTTAATAAATTACTGGTTTAATTAATAAATCATATTTGAAATAATTTAAGTCACACTAACTATAAATCTAGATTAATTATCAGTGTTTATTTAGGTTTAAATTTTATTACAAACTGGTTATTGGTTTGATAGAGAAAAAAAAGAATTAATGAATATCGAAGTGAGTTATTTTTTTGTACTTAAAAATATGGAAAAAATGATATAATTAATTATGTATGTAAATAAATAACCAATTATATTAGTTTTTCTTAACTTTTTTATAATTTGAAATATCACAATAACTAATTATAAGGTGATCCATAAGTTATTCCTTTTTAATATTTTGATCTTCTTTTTATTTTAGTAATAATATTAAAAAAAAATTGAAAGAAAAGAAAAACATTGAAATTGATTGTGTTCAGTTTCATTATTTACAGAACAGATTGACTTTAATTATAGACGTGAGTAATTTATATTTTTATGAGTAAAAAAGAGTAATTTTTTTAGGCACGTATTTGAATTCATATGGCTAATAATAATAATAATAATAATAATAATAATAATAATATAAAATAGAGTGTTATTATTATTCTCAATCATACCCCTGAAGGCACCATGTAGCATCTATCAAACCTAATCTAATCTAACACAGTGACATTAGTGACAAGTGTGGGCATAATCAAACCTAATTGATGAAAACAACCCTTCAATTATTGCAATCTCAGTCAAATCCCCCTTTAAGCCCCTTCACCTTTTTAAAAATTTATTTTATGTGGAAGGGTAAGTTGGTAAATTTTCTTCTTCTCATTAACAATAAGTGCCTAAATAGATGGTAAGATAAAGTGGCAAAGCATGGCATAACATAATCCTCTGTAGAGTCCATGGTTTTTTGTTTTTGTTTTTTTAATGTTAAAAGTATTTGGCATAATTGAGTGTGTATATGACTTGGTTCCATGAACTGGCATGGCCCTCCTATGCACCATCGTGATGGAGGATCATTGTTTACCATGAGTCAACATGGTGGGATTTTCTTAATCATTCAAAATATGAATTCTCTTTTCTTTTTCTTTTTTTCTTTTTAAAAAAATTTACCCCTCACATGAGATGATGATGATGATGATAAGTATGGCACACGTGCATATCATCAAAGGTTTTGTGGTGGGCATGTCAACCCTGTTGACATTAGTGGCACCCAATACATCTCATCACATGCCTTTCATTTCTTTAAATTTCTTTCACCTCTCTTTTCTTTCTTCACCTTTTATTTTTACTTCTCTTAATCAAATTGCTTTTTTAAATATCAAGTTCAATAATGAATCAATGGTGAGTATGATTTTGGAGGTTGACCTATGATGCTCATCCAGCCAAATGTTTGGCGTGCAAATTCTATAATTACCCAATTCAGTTTTAGATTATCTTAATTAACCTAACTATGTTACTTCTTAGCAAGATAATTGACTTTTCAAAAATGGTTTTAATTTAAGTCAATAACACGTTAGGGAAAAGTCCACTTCTTTTCATTGAAGAGTGTGTTTCGCCATTTTCAATTTTTGTTGTTGTTGCTATTACTGGGTTTGATTTAGTCGAAATAAACAATTAGTACGCCAAATTAGTCGTTAATTTTTTAGCACCGGTAAAAATATTTTTTAATATTATGAAAAAGTCATGTTTGTCCCTTGACTTGTCAAGCATTAATTGTTTTTATATTCACTGTTATATTTTTTTAAATTAGAATGGTCCGCATTTAAATGTTATTTTAATTATTTAAAATATAACTTAATCAATTTTCGCAATTTTAGGATCTAAATTCATATATAATTCTTTAAAATAATACTCCCTGAAGACTAAAGCCATTTATAGTTTCTAATATTACGTGTGAATGATAAAATTAAAATATAAGTTTTAAAGTCAAACTACGTGTTTTTTTTTTTGGTAAAAGTCATAGAAAATATAAGAGAGAAAAAAATCATAGAATAATTTATATTAGGTTTCTGATTCTAACTAACTTAATAACATCATTTAACTAATTAATTATTCAATGTAATGTACGAACCTCGTAATAGTTAGAAATGCCTAATTGTGATTTTTTTATAAATGACCTTATAATTAACTTAGTTACTAAATAAGATTATTAATTTTTTTCTATGATATTAATTAAATTTATTACAATACATTTGAAGGAATTGTCTTTAAATATGTTTTCTTATTACACCACCTTGTCGTATGTTATGTGAGTAATATTTTTACACTATTATTCAATTAAAGCATTTTTCTCTCGTATAATAATATAATAATGAAGTCTTCTGTAAAGTTCTCGAACATTACAAACTATTTGTCGTGCTGCATATTTTTCCAAAATTGAAAATCAAGATAATATCGGTCAATGAACCACAGCCTCAAAATTGGCAATGAATGGTCAAAATATCTAGAGCCTTGAAATTTCTGCATAAAAAAATGGATTTATAACAAGAATTTTATGCATATCTTCCCCGTTTAAATAACAATATAAAATTCTCTCTGCAGCTTTCTAGAAAAACTCTTGCCAACAAAACAATGGGTTAGAGTTTGATAATTTCAAATTTTCATTCCCATCTCTCCAGAGCATATTTGACTTGACTCCGTCATTTTTGCACTAAGAATCTGCAAGTTTTGATTAATAATAATCACAGTACTGTTTTCTTGCATGACAGATAAGAGCATATCCTTGGTAGCAAACCAGAAGGGTTGACTTTGATTTAGGGTAAGCAAGAGTTCGAATTTGCAAAGGTTATATAGCATCAGTGTTGCAATGAGTTCATGTTGATGCATGACGAAACCTGATTTAAAATGAGTGGAAAGTTGGGAAGAATATATGCTTTTTCGTGGATTGATTTATTTGTTCTGAGTCCACCATTAGAATATAATGGATATGTTTGAAATTTGGTGTGTGATGTTTACCTGGCATGTTTATGGAACAGTGGTGGCCTTGTTTGACGTACTACTAATTGGAATGCTTTTGAAAAATACAGAACAATATTGCGTTTCCCATTTGACATAAATGTAATTGGTGTATTGGGGGAATCAAAAGGAAGAATATCTAAGGGAACCATAACTTTTTGACATATGTGTGTTAAGCTTAAGCAAAAAATGAAGAGCATCAATCCATAGATGAGATGAGATGGGGGGTTTGAGTGGTGTTGCCTATTCCCACTTACTTTACTCTCTCAAAAGACCATCTTTTATAGATAAAAGAAAAAACACCTAATCTTTCTAGGATGCAAAAAGTTATTCCTCTCCCCCACAAGAGACCATCAATAAGGAACAAAGACAGTGACTACTTTTCAATTCACTCCCTCCTTTTGAGGGCACACATGACTCGCACACCTTGAGGGAGAGCGTATGTTATGTTTGTGTGTATGAGAAAGAGAGAGAAAATGGGTTTTTGCCATCAGAGCTTCTTCCTGGCAATGAGTGGAGAACCATTAACAAAGAATCCTCATCAAACCCTTAGTGGGGAGGGAATAGAGGGGATAGGATTCCCTTTACTACCTCCAAATTTGCCAGACTTTATGGCTAAGTCAACGAGAAAGCTGAACCTTTTTTAGTGTATTAGAGAACCTCTCCTCTCATGGTGCCTCCCACTTTTTTGTTTATTCAAGACACTACTAATAAAGCATGGTATTCCAAGTCTTAAAATGA